AGAGCCATAGAGTCCTTGTGAGTAGAAGTTATCAGGATGGGTCCTGGGAAGGGACATGGAAAGAGAGATAAGGGGAGTCCTGCCCCACCCAGCTTCACCCTGACAGAGACCCTGGGAACCCAGCCCTGCACAGCCGCTTTGTAGAGCTGAATGAGGCTTACCATGTACTCAGCCATGAAGAGAGCCGCCGCAGCTATGACAGCCAGCTCCACTCAGCCAGCCCCCCAAAATCTCCAGGGACCACGGCCTATACAAGGTCTGCCAGGCAAACATACAGGTACACCAGTCCTGTCCCCATTTGCTGCCACCACCAAGTCTCCTAAAGAGCCTCATCTCCACATGGTCCCCTCTGCCTTCCAGCAGCTCCTGGGCACCTCCCAATGAACAATACTGGGCCCAGTTTCATGGCGTGAGGTCACAGGGGCCTGAGTCACGGCAGCAGCAGCAGAAACACAATCAGCGGGTGCTGGGGTACTGCGTCTTGCTCATGCTTGCAGGCATGGGCCTGCACTACATCGCCTTCAGGTGCATCCCTGTCCTCCCCAGGGTGGTGGCAGAGGTGGGGGGCATGGCAGCCCGATGTGGTCAGCCAGCCAGCCACAGCAGGTAACAACCTGCATGCTGTGTCTCTCGAGCTAGGATTGCATGACCTTGGCATTTGGAGCCTTTTTATTTGGTAAAGGTGGTACTGCAAGGAGGGCTAATGTTGGCATTTTCAGTTTCTCATAATTTGAAAGTAAATCTTTGGTGCTGGCTGCCAGGAGTGCTGCAGCCAAATAACATCACACAAAGAAGCAAATGCATTGTAACCAAGTCTCCCCAGAGACTGGGTTGCTGGATGTCTCCTGGCACTTATGCATCCATACTATGATATGGATTAGAAAAACCAACAAAGATAGTCAGAAGCCAGTACCCACTGCCAGCAGTCTGCCCAGTTAAGTGACAAAGACAGAGGCAGTACCCCGTCTAGCCTTGTGCCCTGGAATGTACCCCCCCCCCCATGACAAGAGCTGGTTGACTGCCTTCAAGACAGCCCAGGACTTGGGGCGCTGTGGACCCTGGGCCCAGGCTACTGCGTGCTCATGCTCCTCTCCTCCACCGTTAGACCTAGAACCCTGCAGAGGGAAAGCTGTGTGAGACTGGAGTGGGTAGAGGAGGGGAGCACTTAAGGGACAACAGGGACTCCAAGCTCTGAAGTTCACGCTTGGCAGCAATCCCCTTGCAGGAAGTTGGAGCAGATACACCGCAGCTTCATGGATGAAAAGGACCGGATCATCACTGCCATCTATAACGACACAAGGGCGCGGGCCAGGTCTGTCCCCACTCCGTGCTGACCCTGTGAGTCCTGGCATCACCTTCCAGGGGCCCTGGCCCGAATGCTCTGGTGCTTTCTCCTCCAGGGCCAACCGAGCGAGGCTCCTGCAGGAGCAGCACCGGGGGCTGAAGCTTTCGCCACCACCCTCCCCGGCTTCTCCAGAGGCTGGGCTCGTGCCCCCTGACGCCAGCCCCTGAGGGGCTCTCCAGACCTTGCTGACGCCCCAGCCTGCCCCACTCCCCATGGTGCATGCAATAAAGCGGTTCCTAGAGTTGCTGTTCCGCTCCTTCAGGCCCCACGCCAGCGCCCCCCGCCCTAATAGCGCGGCTACCCGGGAGCCCGGCCCCTGGGCGGTGCGTCCCCTCTCCGCCCCGCCCCGTCCCGCGCCCGGTGGAGAGCGCGTGTCTGAGTCACATGAGCCGTCAGCTCGGGCCCGGCCCCCCATCGTCCCGCCGTCCCGCCGTCCCGCCGTCCCGGCCGCCCGCCGTCCGCCACAGCGCACCACCCGCCTGCCCGCTCGGTTCATCCGGCCGCCGCGCCGCGCTGCGCTGCCTGCGCTCAGGGCTCGGGAGGGGGCCGCGCAGGAGCCGCTCCCCGCTCCCGGCCCCCGCCCGCTGCGCCCTGGCCCGCGCAATGGGACTCGGGCCACTGCCCCCCGCACTGCCGGGCTAGGACAATGCGGGCGCCTCCGGCGAGCGGCCCCCACGGGCACCATGCGCCCCCTGCTCTGCCGCCTGCTACTCGCCGCGCTCCTGCAGCTGGCCCCCGCCCAGGTACGCGCGGCCCCGACGGCCCGCCCACCCCGCCGTGCCCTCTCAAGGTTGGCGGAAGTGGAGAGGCGCCCAGCGGCCTCGGCCTCCAACTCGGACCCGCTGGCTGGGGACCGCGCATCCCCAGGGAGGTGCCCCTCTGAGCCCGATCCCGCCCTCTAGCCCGTCCCCGGGCCACTCCCCCGCCCCACCCTCTCCCTTGGGCTCCGTCGAGGGGTGGGCAGAGCTGCCTCGTTAGCCTGCAGAACCTGGTTTTTGCCCACTGGGCTCTCTGTTGACTTGACCTGTGCCCCCGAGGCTTGGAGATTTGACACCAGTGGCTGAGTGTCCTTGGTTACTCTTGGGCCAGGGCAGGCCCCAAGTGACCTGGAAACACCACGTAAAGCTTAACACTGAGGCCGTGGGTATAGAGCAATCTGGAAAGATTTCAGAAGGGAGGTGTAGCCTCCAGGTTCCAAGGCAGAGCCCTGGGGGTGCACATGGGGTCCTAGAGTGCACCTGGGGTCCAGGTCTCTTCTCTTCACAGGCCCCTGCTTCTCAGCATGACACCCCTGGCCATCAGAAGAAAGGTAATAGTTACAGTAACTTGGCATCAATCAGTACTAAGTGGGTTTGCCCCATGCCCGGATTCCTGATTTGGATTGTCTGTCATCTTGCATAAACGATTCTCCTCCAAGATGAAGGCTACTATTTTTTCTGCCCAGAGGAACGAGTTGGGGTAGAGGGGTTGCTGGGTTCTTGACAAACAGGGCTGGGAAAGGCAGGTTAAAAGGGCAGAAGTGGGGACAGTGGGGGGTTACTGGGGAGGACAGGTTCTAAGAGCAGCTGCAGGAAACCCAGTGGGGACTTAACCCTTATGGGTCTGCCCACAGTGGTGTCATGGATAGATGTGTATTCGCGTGCCACCTGCCAGCCTCGGGAGGTGGTGGTGCCCTTGACTATGGAGCTCATGGGTACTGTGGCCAAACAACTGGTGCCCAGCTGCGTGACTGTGCAGCGCTGCGGCGGCTGCTGCCCTGACGATGGCCTGGAGTGTGTGCCCACTGGGCAGCACCAAGTCCGAATGCAGGTACCAGGGCAGGTGGGGCAAGCAGACTGGGGAACAATGGTGCTCTGGGGCCGGGCCAGCTCAAAGAGCAGCACACAGGAGGCTGGAAGTCGGCCACCAGGGCCCTGGCTGTTGGAGGAGCCATTCTCTCTCCGGCCTGTGGCCCCGTCACTGTCTCTCCCTGTTCTTCTCCCGAGCACAGATCCTCATGATCCGGTACCCAAGCAGTCAGCTGGGGGAGATGTCCCTGGAAGAACACAGCCAATGTGAATGCAGGTGCCAGCCAGGCCCAGCTTCTAAGCTTGCCGAGTCCAGGCGTGGGGGGTGTAGGGCATGGCAGTGCCCGCAGTGGGGACCAAGTGTCTTTAAGAATGGAGCAAAAGGTAGGCCTGGGATCTGGGGCCAAAGAGCAGGATGTTTGGCTTTCCTGATCTTTCTCCTCTCTTTGTCTTTGTCTTCTTTCTTACTTTTCAGGCCAAAAAACAGAGAGAGTGCTATCAAGCCGGACAGGTGAGTCCCTCAGGCTTCTCCAGAAGTGGGGTTGGGAACCGAGGCCCAGCACCCAGGACATGATGTGTGGGTGGGCCATGGGGTAGACAAATGAGTCACGAATATTGGTTCCTCCCTTGTCTTCCTCCACCTGTCTTTCCCCCTCTTCCTCTGATCCCCAGATCTGTGTACTCTGGCCGGCCCTCAACTCTTGGGAAGATTCTTTCTCCCTCCCCATACATGTTGCTTCTCCTCCTAGGGCTGCCACTCCCCATCACCGCCCCCAGCCCCGCTCTGTTCCGGGCTGGGACCCTGCCCCCGGAGCACCCTCCCCAGCTGACATCACCCATCCCACTCCAGCCCCAGGCCCCTCTGCCCACGTTGCAGCCAGCGCCGCCAGCGCCCTGACCCCCGGACCTGCCACTGCCGCTGCCGACGCAGCTTCCTCCGTTGCCAAGGGCGGGGCTTAGAGCTCAACCCAGACACCTGCAGGTGAGCAGAGCAGGTGTGGGGATGGCAGCATTGTCTGAGAAGCAGTTGAAGCTGTGTCCTGGAGCAGTCCAGGGTGAGCCTGCCAGTGGGAGGAGGGCCAGCAAGGGGAAGCTGCTGAATGTGTCGAATAAACATTTAGCAAGCACCTGCTGGCGCTGAGCTCACTGCAAACACCGTGGACTATGAAGGCTGCTCACATCTGAATGGGTGAATCAGACACAGGAGAGGTGATGCCGGCAGAGGATGCAGAGGGCTATGGTGTGGGCACCTGACATCATCTCTGAGTGGTCAGCCTTTTGGGAGAGGGGGAGGAGACATCTGTCTAGAATGGAAATTGCAGAGCACTAGGCCTGCTTGGAAGCCCCTGTGACAGACCCTCCCCCCCCAGCTCCCCAGAGACCAAGGGATATGTTGGAACCTTCAGGCACCTTCATCAGTGTTCCTCAGCAAGGCCATGGGGTGATGTCAGGCTAGGGAGCTTTGCTGGGACCGATGGGAGAGCCTGTCATTGGTGCTGTCAGCAGGTGCTGTGACTGAGTTCAGCCAGCAAGAACAGATGTCTTCTTTCCTCTGCAGGTGCCGGAAGCTGCGAAGGTGACACATTGCTTTTCAGACTGTGGGGCCACTTGCCTCATACATCACACCCTATGGGAGAAGAAAGGGGAACCTGAGAACAGCCCAACCACAGACCTCAGGACCTGGGCCTCTCAGAGGACTCTCCTGCTGTCCTTTGTCTCCTGAGGCTGCCTTCTGACAGATTTGAGGAGGAGCTGTGGTGTCAGCATGAGGGGTCATGTCCCATGGTAGCGGGGAGCGTGTGCCACCCTGTGACACACCCCATGAGCATCTTACAGCTGGCTCCTGCCTCCCCTCCCTAAGAAGACCTCACACCTCTGTGAATAATGGGATTTGGTCTTTGGTCTGGAAACTGATTCCCCCAACCTTGATAAAAGATGGAACGAGCTGTCCCTGCCTGTGTCACTGTTTGTCACTATCCAGGTCGGCTGGTTTGTATCACTGTCTGCTAGATTTGAAGCTTGTCTAACCTAGTCACCACACTGATGCAGGAAGTGAGGCCTAATGTCCCCCAGCGGCTCCCAGGCAGAGCCTGGATCATGGATTCACCACTGCCCCAGTGGGGTTTCAGGGGATGTGAACCCTTGCACCCTGTTTATCACAAAGGTTCTGCCTATGGCCAGTGAACTTGTCTTAGGACCCCAATCTGCTGAATGACTTCGGTTCTTACTGCCTTTTGCTTGAGATAGGGACTCACTATAGAATTCAGTCTGGCCTTGCACTCACTATGTAGCCCAAGCTGGCCTCAAACTCAGCGATCCCCTTGCCTCAGCCTCCTGAGTGCTGGGATTACAGGTGCATACCACCACACCTAGCTCTTTTTAAAAAATTTTGTGTGACACTGGGGATTAAATTCAGGTGTGTTCTATTCAGCTACATCTCTAGCCTTTTAAATTTGTATTAGTTTTTCAGTGCAGAGGTTTTTTTTTTAGTGTATGTGCTGCCACAGCAAAAGCAATCACCCAGTGCTGAGGTTGAATGCAGGGCCTTGTGTGTGCCAAATAAGCACTCTGCCTTTTTATTTTGAGACAGAATCATGCTAAGTTGGTCAGGCTGGACTTAAACCTGTGCTCTTCCTGCCTCAGCAGCTGGCATTACAGGAAGGTGCTGCCATTCCTGGCTACCCCTTTCTGAGCCTCAGTTTCCATATATGCATATGGAGAGAAGAAATGATTGCTGTGTCAAGGTCACTGGGCTCCACATAAGTTTGAGTCTGTCTTCACATAGTAGAAAAAAACCACCCATTTTTTGTGCTCCGGCAACACTTTTAGCATCCTCTGCTTTTGTGCTCCCTGTAGTGGGGTCTAACACACACACCTGACCTCTTTGCCCTCACTCCTGCCTACCTTAAAAGGAAGTACCAGAGGTTGGTGGATTTGGTGTAGGAGATAATCTGTCACCCCAACGTAGTCTCCACTTCCCCTCCCTGCCACCTCTACGCTCCCTGTCCTGATTAGACTCCTGAATTGCCTGTCCCTCACTCAGTCCCTAGTGCTGGGAACCAGCCTCGGGGAGCAGTGCTTTGCCCTGCTAAGGCACAGCCACAAACAGGACCCCAAACAGCCACCCTAACGGAGGTTTTCTTTAGGCACTGGGTTTGTGAATGGTCGTGGTCCTGGCAGGCCCAAGCCAGGAATGAGAAGCGCTAAGAGACAAAGTGATAATGACCACTACTTTGAAATCATTTTCTCAGCCTTAATGGTCATAGGGATCTATAGCTAACACCTGTGAACCCATTTAACCCCCAGACCAACTCGCTCAAAGCTTTCCAGGCATCTCATGGCTTTATCCTCCTGAGTCTGAGGTCTGAGTTATGATTGTTCTCCACTCATAACTAAGGAATTAGGCTCAGAAAGGCAAACTGGTCTGGGTCTTTGCCTCAGGCTGACTCCTTAGCACTCCAAGTGGGATTAGCTGCCTCTCAACTGTAAGTTTGTCACATCTTTAATCGATGTCTCCAATATTGGGCACGGTGGTGCCTGAAAATAAGCACTATAGGAAGGGTCTCAGCCTGACCATTACAGACCTAACTGTGGGCACACCAGGCAGGGGCAGTCAAGTGCCCCTGAAGGGCCTCCCACACTCCAGGCCGGGCCCTGAAACACTTTGGGTCAGCCTTACAGGGAACCTGTAAGATGGGTGTCATCAAACATGTTTACCAGACGCAAAGCTGTAAGGTCAAGGTCATACAATCAAACCAGCTTGTGATAGCCCTAAGATTCAAACCCTGCTCTTTCCACAGTGGCTAATGGAACAGGCTGCCGTCCTGGGACAGGCAGGATGGATGTGGGAGATGCTGGGGGCGACATAAGATGGCGCCTCAAGACCCATCTGGGAATTCACGCCTGGGTGACAGTAATGTCACCTTGACCGGAAGTGTCTTTGGCGTTTTCAGAAGTCACTTTCTCCAAACCCCGCAGAGCATAGTTCCGGCGGAAGTGACTCAAAATCACGTGCCACATGGAGGCGGGGCCAGAGGCCAAACCGCGCCGCAGCGGGTTTCGCAAGGTCCAATGAGGGAGGGCGGCGTGGCCAGGCCGGTAACGAACGGAAACGCGCTTGCGCAGAGGCGGCAGCACGAGCGGGGTTGACTCCGGGGGCGCGGCGAGGAGGTGAGCGGGGGCCACAGCCCGGGCTGGGGGGAGCCGGGGTGCAGGAGGGCAGGCTGGATCAGGCCGGGCAGGAGCGGGCCGGTGCTCTGGGTGCCAACGAGGGATAGGTGGCAAGGAGACGGAACTGGTGTTGGAGCGGTCCAGAGATGTCGCAGGGGGAGGGGTCTCATGCTGCACTGGGCGGAGCCCTGGGACTCTGGGCGGAACGTGGGACGAAGGCTGGCGGGACCTCCGAGCGGGTGCGGGCGGAAGGAGGAGCTCGGCTGTTAGAGGCGGGGCCGGGACTGCTGGGGGGTGGGGCCTGTTACTTGGAGGAGGAGCGGGAGCTGGTGGCGGGCGGAGCCTTGTGTTTGGAGACAGAGGAAGGCGGAACCCAGGCTTTAGGGGCGGGGTTTCAGCCGAGGAGCGGTGGAGCTCCGGTTCAGGAAAAAGGTTCTAGTCTTGCGAGGGGCGGGGCTACGGGCAAGGGGGCGGAGTTTAGTTCCCCAGGGGGCGGGACCAAGGAACCGAGCGAAGGGCTAAGTCTGACTAATGTCCCTGGACGTCCGCGCGGGGGCGGCCTCCGTGGTGGCGGTGCCTGGGGACGCGGTAGGCCGAGGACTCCCCCCGGAGAGGTGGTGTGGGTGGAGCGGGTTCGGCGTCCAGCCGATACAGGACCAGTCTGGGTACCCCGACGGCCTCCGAGGGCCCAGAGCTGGGGCGGCGCCCCGGGCGGAGACACGGGTCCGGCCTGGGGGGTACCTCCGGAGGAACGGGGCTCCCCAGAACCTCCCAGTGGGGACGTATGGGTACCTCGGGGTCGACCTCCTGCAGCGGCCGCAGAAGTGTGGGTATGCTGGTCCGGGAGCAGCTGGGTGTGGCGTGAATGGGGACGTCCAGTTGGGGCAACCGTTGTGCAGCCAGATAGGGTCTGGACTTTGCGTAAGGGGACAGGTGGGAACTGAAGAGCAGATGTGGAGACCAAAAGGGAGGGAAGGTCGGGGGGTGAGCAGAGGGGAGGGGCCCTGGCTGCTGTGGCCTCCCCTGACCCCCTCCCCTCGCTGCTGGGGTCCTCAGCCAAGCCCCCTTCTCACTCAACGGGTAAGTGTGACCGTGGAGTCCGGGGGAGAGGGTGGTGACCCGGGACGAGGGGAACCCCTGGGCAGGCAAGGTATGGTGGGGGTTCAGTCTTCCAGGGTCCTGCAAGTGTTCCATGCCCTCCCCACCCTCCTCCCGGTCGGTCGGGGTCTGTGCCCACAGAGACATGAGGCTGAGCTGGGTCCTGACAGTATTGTCCATCTGCCTGAGTGCCCTGGCCACTGCCACGGGGTCCGAAGGCAAACGGAAGCTGCAGATCGGAGTCAAGAAGCGGGTGGACCACTGTCCTATCAAATCGCGCAAGGGAGATGTGTTACACATGCACTACACGGTGGGTGAGGGGGTGGAGCGTCTGCGGTGGGTGGGGCTTTTGGAGACCAGAAAGCACTTGGGAACCTGGTTTGTCCCCTTAACCTGGTGGGTGACGAAGGGAAACTCCTCTTTTGATTCTAAGTCATTTTCCATTGTCCGCCACTGTCTCCTTTGCAGGGTGGGTACCAGCAGGCATGATTAGTGTACTGAGGCTCTCTACAAGAAGTGTGGCAATCAGGGCTGTGGAGGCCTGCTTGATGGGGAGAAGAGATGAATGAGGGGTGGTGTCAGGAATGGTTCCTCATTCTCATTGGTCTTCCCGTTGTCCCACAGGGAAAGCTGGAAGATGGGACGGAGTTTGACAGCAGCCTGCCCCAGAACCAGCCCTTTGTCTTCTCCCTTGGCACAGGCCAGGTCATCAAGGGCTGGGACCAGGGGCTGCTGGGGTGAGTCTGGGAGTGGGCCAGGGTGTGCATAGTCCTGATCCAGGAGGTGAGCTGGGAGGCAAGTCTGGGGCTAGGGGTGTTGGGAGCCTGGGTGTTGGCATGTGCTAAGCCATATGTTGTTCTACAGGATGTGTGAAGGGGAAAAGCGGAAGCTGGTCATCCCATCGGAGCTGGGTGAGAGTCCCTCCCTGGGGGCAGGGGCTTTAGGCTCTTCCAAGCCTGGTTGTGTCTAGCAGCAGGAACAGGGCAAGAGTTGGGACATACAGTCATGTTGCAGCTGTCCCATGACCTTTGCCATCTCCTTCCATTTCTGTCCCACCCGTTACTCTGGTCCTCTCAAAACTGAAGGGTTTTCCCTTCCTTTCCACTGAGGTATAATGGGGTCTGGCCACAGCTTACTTTGTTTCTTTCTCTGATTTCTTGAGACAAGGAGGCTTCACTTTGTTTCTTTGTGCATTTTTCATAGGATATGGAGAGCGGGGAGCTCCCCCAAAGATCCCAGGTAATACCCTTTCTTGCATCACTGCGTTTTTCACTGGAGCCCAGGCTCCCATCTGATCCTACCTCTCCCCCTTCAGGTGGTGCAACCCTAGTGTTCGAGGTGGAACTGCTCAAGATCGAGCGCCGGTCAGAACTATAGCCAGCTTCAGAGGGGTGGGGTAGGGGGGACCCCATGAGGGACCAGAATGTTTAAAAAAAAAGAAACAAAAAACCCTTAAAGGTCAAGGAGTGAACATGTGTTTCTTTGGGGGCCAGGAGACTTAGGTATAACTCAGTGCCTAGAGTGCCTGCTTAGCATGTACAAGGCCTTGGATGTGATCCCTAGCACTTCACCCCATCCCCCTAAACACAGCTACAGCCTTCCCCCAGACTGCAGAGCCTCGGGGTCTTGGCTTACAGGCATGGCAACCCTAGTCCAGAGAGGATAAAAAGTACTGAGGGCTGTCTGTCTCACTGCTTCCCAACCACTTCCAGGGCCTGTCTGGGAGCCAGCTCTGGGCTATTGCCATGGCTATGTGGCCCTCAATGGCCTGTGGTCACCTGGGGAGAAGCTGAGCTGGTGGTGGTTGTAGAGAAGCCTAAAAAGACCAATTGAGCCTGTGATTAGCTGCTCCAAAGGCATTTCCTACCTTTATTAAAGGGCCCGTGCCGCAGAATCAATATAAAAACACAAAAAGTCACATCAGTTTAATAACAATAAAAAAACCCCAAAAATGGAAAACTGAGGGGCAAGGGAAGAAAGAGACCCCTAGGCCAGGGGTACGGGGAACCCTGCTCACAGCACCAGGCCTGGCTGCAGGGTCCCCCGTTATTGCTGTTGCTACGAGGTCTGGGGGGCAGCGATTGTCCTGTAGGAGCCACTGTTCACCTGGGTCAGGGACCCCTACTTCTTCTGGGGTGTGCTCAGCTTCTGCATGCCCCGGATCTTGTCCAGCAGGCCAGAGATGAAGGCCTAGACGGAAGGGGATGTTAGGGAGACCAGCCCCCAAACTGACAGTAGCCCAGGCTCTCTCCACCCCACCTTTTGGGGGAACTACTCACCTCAGTGGGTTTGTAACAGTCAACCAGCAGCTCCTGGGGGTGGGGGGATAAGTTTAGTGAGTTCCCAGGGGTCCATGCCTAGAGCTCACCTATACCACTTCTGAGGGACTGGGGTCACCTGTGGCTTAAGAGATGTCATTGCTAGGCAAGGACCATCAACCCCAGTTTCCAGGGCAGCAACTGAGGCCCCAAATCTCAGAGCTAGCAGACACACACCAAAGGTGGCCTGGTTTCAGGACCTTGCTTCCCCGAGGGACGGTGCTTCCTGGCAGCACCCCACCTACTACTGCCCCCCCCCCCCCCGCCCCAGCCCTTCTCTCACTTTGACCCTGGCAGCCCGGGTATCATCACTTTCCATGTCCAAGAGTTCATCCACATCAATCTCCAGCTCTGGGATCTCCTCTTCCTAGGTAGGGACGGGGAGGAGAGAGAGACAAGGGAGGGCCTGAGTTGGGAAAGAAGATGTGAGAGGGGCTGGCAGGTTTCAGTCCTGTTTGTCTCAGGACCAGACAGGTCCTCTGCCCAGCAGAGGATGGCAGCTGCTCTGAGAAGGAAAACATCAGGCCCTTGCCAAAGCGAACTGCTCGATGTAGGGGGAGCTTCCTGTCCCTGCCAGTGGGCACCCGGGGTGCCAGACAAGGCCAGACAGCCAGGGCTGGGGACCTTAGACTAGGCATCCAGTGGATGGGTCTCCCTAGCATCCGGGCCCCCATCTCACTATGCACTGGTGGGGCCAGCTGTCCCAGTTCATCACAGCCCCCTCCCCTCCCCCAAACACCTGTCACAGCTTCCTGGGAGTGAGGAGGAAGTGAAGGGTGAGGGGTCAGGGAGAAGGACCCATGCCTCTTAAAGGGGGAACAAAGAGCCTATGCTTTGGGGGAGGAAGGGGATGCCCACCACCCCTCCTCCCCAGGAAGCTGCTACCCTGTTTGGAGCCTGCAGCGTTCCAGGGCTAGGCAAGGGTAAGCAGCACCAGGCAAGCCCACTCCTCCACCCTGCCCCCTGGGACCTGAGTCACTGTCTGAGCAAATGGGGAGTCATGGGGTGGAGAACCAGAGCCCAGAGAGCGCAAGTTAACCTGCCCATATACCAAGATGGAGTTCAGGCTAGCCCACTGAGACAATTGAGACCTGCCACAGTACCCCGACCAGCGAAAGGAGCCCAGCTGGTTCCAAGCAGTTTACACCTCCTTCCACCTCCACCCCCCGGCTAGCCCTGCCCCCTGCCAAGGCCAGGCTATCGCTCAAGGCTTCTTGGAGGACACTTCGCTGGACCTGGGGAGTGGCAGGCGGGAGCTGGGTCTGAGAGACTTAAGTCGGATAAGAAAGAACACACACAAGGCGGGGGTCGGTGCGGGGCGCGGAGCGGTGCGCCCAGCGACTCCGAAGACAGGCGGACGGGCTGCGGGCCTCGGCGGGACGGTTCAGAACCGACTTCAGGGTGTCGCGCGGGGTGGGGAACATACCTGGCAGTCGTAGAGCCGCGTGAGCTGTTCCAGGATCCACTCCTCCAGGTTGAGACGCTTCCGCAGCTCCTTGCGGTCGTACTTGACGGTGACCTTCCCTTGGCGTCTCACGGGGCCCTCATCGTCCGTGTCGCCCGGGCCCTCGCCCGCGGCCCCCGGCGGGCTCTGAAAGTACACGCGGGGGCCGGGACCGCCGCCGCCCGGCCCGGGGGCCGGGGCTGCCAACGCCGCGCCCCCCGCGGGCCCGCTGTCCGCCATGGCGGCCGCCGGGGCCACGTGCGCGCGTCCGGCCCCTCCCTGCGCAGCCGCCTCCGGACGCCCGCCGGCCGGCTCCGGGCCGCTCGGTCCGGCTAGCTCGCGGGCTCGGGTCCGCGCGGCTCCGCGGCTCGGGCGGCGGCGGGGGCGCCCGGGGGCTGCTGCAGCATGCGGAGCCCCCGGCCTGGCCTGGCCTGGCCGCGCCCCGCCCCTCCCCTCCCCTCCCTTCCCCGTCGATCCGCCCGCCCTTTGTCCCCCGCGGCCGCCGCCCGCCGCCGCCGCCGCCGAAGCCGCTTTCTCTGTCTTGCTCCTTCCTCCGCCCCCGACCACACCCCCTTAAAGGCCCATCCCGCTCGGGGCCCCTGGTTCTCACCCCGCCTCTAGGGAGGGACTGGGGAGGACCTAATGAGAAGGGGTCGGTGCCTAGCTTTTTGCACCCCTAATTTAACTTTCTGGCCCCAACCAGGGGTACTGTGATCCTGGGGGTTCACGCTTCCGCGGGAATCCTAATCCTCTTTGAACTCTGTCTCATTTTTTCCTCGTTGCAGCAAGAACTGGGGCTACCTAGGTTTGGCGGGGAAGTGGGCACTGTGGAGAGGATGGTCTGGAGAGCAAGCTGGGAGACCCTGACGTCTGGGGCCCCCGAACCCTGGCTAGCACCGGGCGAGCGCGCTTCTCTGCGCCGGCACACACGTGCACGCAGCTCCACAGAGGGGCAGTGGGAAGGTGGGGAGGAGCTGCTCAGGTGCCTGACGACCTATTTGTCGGGGTCCCCCGCTCTCTATGAAGTCCTGCATGGGGGTGAGCTCTCCCACCCGAAGGGCCAGCCCCGGGCAGCCACCGCCCACCGGCCGAGATGGCGGCGAGCGTGGCATTGTGGGAAGTGTAGTTCGCAGCTGGGCCCCGCATGGTCAGCCTGCACTCAGTGGAGCCGGTCGGGGAGCACACTTGTGCGTGGGGTCCCCCTCCCAGCCGGCTTGGCTGCATCCCGCAACCAGAGCGCGCACCGGGGAAGAAAACGCCGAAGCAAAGAGCAAGTCTGGAAGCCAGGACTCAGGATAATAAAGGTTATACTAGCGCCTGGCTCAGAACGCCGGTTCATCCGGACCCCGCGCAGTCGGTTCTGCAGCTAGGGCCCCGCAGTGGCACTCCCGAAACCCCTGTGTCTGGTACACCACCCTGAAGCAGGCCGTGCATCCTATTCACTGCCATTTTGATTGTTTTTTAAAGTGTCTCATTCATTTCTTCATTGTGTCTCCCACTTCTAGGCGGTGAGTTGCAGGAGGGGAGCTGTGTGGACTTTGCTGACATCCAGGCTTTGGTCTGCCAGCTCCCCTTCAAACCTCACGAGTGTGAAGGTCTTGCAGGAGCCTAGCTCCTCGAACTATCACATTCTTAGCAGATGCTCCGTGCTGTTGAATTGGTGGGTGTGGTGAGTTGCTTCTGGATTGCAAATTCGAGGCCAGTTTGAACAATTGAGCAATATCCCATTCTTCAAATAAATAAATAAATAAATGTTTTAAAGTGAGCAAAAATGACTGGCTTCCTCAAAAAATTGTGGTGAGGATTAAATAGGAAAATTTGGGGGAAGTTGTATTACTGTACAGTGGAGGTTAATTGAGCCACAAGGTTAGATAAATGGAGAGCTGAGATTTTTGAGCTCTGTGACACAGCCTCCATTCTCCCACCCTACTTAGCTCCTTCCTCAACCCCCTCCACCTTCTCCTACACACCACTCAACACACTTGTGCAGCTCAGCCTGGGCTGTCTGCATAACAGCAGGCTCATGCTCTGGAGTCCCAAACAGGGTCTCAGGAGCCAAGAGGCAGAAATCCCAACCCTTCCCAGGCACCCTTTCTCTGGTTGCTGGAGGAAGGAACCTTTCTGTAGTTGGGGTTCAGAAAAGGTTACCAATTGGCCCAGGGTTGTGCAGCTGGTCTTGCATCAAAACAAGAACCCAAGGCTTTAGCCCCCTCCTTCACCCTATAGTGGATGAAGTCAGAGAAGAGGCTGTGAACAGTGTCAGGGAGAGGTGGGTTTTTAGGTTTTAGCCAGGGAAAGTCTGACCCTTACTCTTGGCAGTTAGGCAGGACCATCCAGAGCCTGCCTTGCTCCAATCCCAGCCTGATAGGATTTTTTTTTTTCTTTTGGTACCATGAATCAAATTCACAGACCTTGCATTTGCCAGGCAGGCGCTTGTGCCACTGAGCTATATCCCCGGCCCTCGCCTGATAGGAACATTGCTATACCCAAGTCCAGATTCCCCACCATGCCCCCACTCACCCTGCCAGGGCAAGACAGCTCTTTCTGAACTTAAGTATTGACTCATGGATTACAGGGGGGCACACATGTAAGTGGCCTTGTGTGCCCAGCAGCCACTCTGGGAATGGGTGACCCAGAGAACTCAACTTCCTGTCCCTCAGAGGTGGCATCAAGGGGCTGGGGTTTTAGCTCAGCGGCATAAGCACCTGCCTTGCAAGCAGGCAGTCGTGAGTTCGATCCCTGGTACCGATAAAAAGGAAAAAGACAAAAAAAGAAAACTCAGGCAGGGGTGGCATCAAGGTCTCCAGCTGAGTCCAAACGTCAGGTGTTCCTATGAGGGCTCTCTAGGGGCATGCCCTTTCTGTGTTTACCTCTAGCCTTCCCCTGTGCCACTCCCAGGTTCCTGAAGCCAAATCCCCTGTTCATCTAGTGCCTTCCCATGGCCACTTACTCAGAGAACAGGGTGTAGATGCCATGCTGGCTCAAAGCCTTAGAGGTGGGGCTGCTGCTCCAAGAACCTTAACGTTAAGGCCTGCGTTCAGACCCTGGCTCTGCCCAGCAGGCCAAGATTCAATGGACAAATCACTCACCTGCCCTTAACTTCCTCCAGGAGGCTGATCCTCCTGCTTGCCCAGTGCCCAGTGGGCCCAGAGCTCACTGCATGACCACGTCTGCTTCCCAGGCTTTGTTCTCCTGCTAGGTCCTCCTGGGACTGCAGTGTGTGTGCTGCTGCTCCTCAAGCTTCCAGCTTCAGGCTGTGGTCTCCGGGGCCCCACCCTCCCAAGTCCTGGCCCCCTCCCACCAAAGTGTGGCTAAAGCTCTGGGGAGGGTCCAGTGGGCCACAAGCACTCCCTTAATCGAGGGTAGAGGCCGGAAGGGCTGCTTCCTTACACCATTACTGCTTGCGAGAAACCCCATTACCATTACCAAGGCTAGGAGAAAAGCGTTCAAAGAGGAAGAAGTCCTCTAAGGGAGGGGGGCTGCCTGGCCTCAGGAGACATGGGGGTGGGGGGAGAAGAGGTCCAGGCCCAGCCATCAGGCTGCCTGCCTCTTTTCCAAGGAGTTGCAGCCCAGCATTTCTATGAAGTTCCCCTGTCAAAGGCTAAGGGTTCAAGATTTAGATTCACTCAGCTCAGACCATGACTGTAGCTGGCAGGGTCCCTGTCCTGGGGCTGGCCCATGCTCTCTCCTTTGACACCACAGCTTTCCTCTTGTCAGGCTGTGTATGTGTGTGTGGGTGGGGAGGGGGGGTTCTCTCACCTATTTGTTTATTTCTTTGGTCAACCCCTAGCTTCTGGACAAGGAGACTGAGGCACAGAGAACATATTGTGCCATCAGCAAGTGCTGAATTTGAACCCAGGCCTGTAGGTACAGAGGCCAACCTTCCCCCAGCATGGCTGTGTTCTCCCGATGAGATCTGGTAGTTCCTGGGTCTCTGAAGGGTACATCTCTGAAGTACTGGTGAAAGAAATAGATCACAGGTCCTGTCTCCCTCTCTGTCTCAAAGGCAGGAGGAAATGCAGACAAAACCTCAGAGGCAAAACCTTATCAAGTTGTGTGACCTTGGGCAAGTCCCTTCCTTTCTCTGGGCCTCAAGTGTAGATAATAATCACACCCCACAGTGCCAGGGCCAAAGGGAAGAAGATTGATTAGGCTATCATCACGGTGGGAATCTAAGGCCTTTAAGGCCAGTGGTGTCGCTGCCTGAGAGGGTCTGAGGCTCCGGGCAAAGGGGCCTTCGGGGCCACTCCTCCTCTGCTGACTCCTCCTCCCCCAGAACCAGCTCCATATCTTTCTGGGTTTCTAGGTGACTTGGCTGGCCCCTCTGGATGAGTTCTACTTTAAACCTGCAGCTGCTGCTGCCTCTATATTGGGGGGGGCTCCCACAGGGGCCCCCAGGCGGGAGCCCCCCCAGCCAAGCCCTGCGGGAGGGGCCACAGCCCCCACCCAATCCCAGTGCCCATGCGCTCTCCCCGCCTCCTAGCGCTGGAACACAGATTTCAGGGCACCTGCTGTGGGCCAGGCTCTACTGAGCCCCTCCTTTGGGGACACCCACGAGGCTCCTGGCTCTTCTGGGCAAATAACCAGCCACCTCTTCGCCAAATCTCAGCAGGGAGCCCACAGAGACAGGGTGGGGTCACGGGGTCGGCAGCACCCAAGGTAGCCTTCCAGGGATCACTCTGGGTGTTTGGGTCCTCGGGAGGTAGCTGGCGCCCGGCCTCCCGGGGCGGCGATGGGGAGGGGCACCTGCCCGGCGGGAGGCCCATTAGCAGACTAAGTGCTCTGGGGGAGGGGGAACTGAGCTGCCGCAGGGGGGTTGAGACAAAGTGAGGGCACCGCATGAGGGTGGCTTTTCCTGCACCCAGCTAAGTGCAGCAGGACGGGGTGGGGATAGAGTTTTGCTTCCCCTGGCCCAAGTCCTGACCTCCAGTCCTTCGTCCAGCCGGTCCTAAGCAACCCCCTGAACACCCCGTCCCTACAACTGTACTCCAACAGCAGCAGGTATCTGTTCTTATTGAGTGTCCCCTCCCAAGCCCCCCACTTACTCAGGTACGCCCTGCTTCGTCTGCCTCTGGCTGCAATCGCCGCCCCGGCCGCTAGGGGGAGCCAACCCGAGATGGGCGGGCCCGGGCGAGGCGGGGCGGGGCGGGGCGGGGGCGGGGCCCGGCGCCCAGTCTCTGGTCCGTCGGGGACAGACAAGCGGGCGGGCGCTGACGCCGCGGGGCCGAAGCGGGCCGCCCGAGAGCGCGCGGAGGGAGCGGCGGCGCCGTCTGTCCCCGTCGGGGCTCCGGGGGTCCCCGATCCGCTCGTGGCTCGGCCATGGCGGGAGCCAGGCCCGGCGTCCACGCGCTGCAGCTGGAGCCGCCCACAGTGGTGGAGACCCTGCGGCGCGGGAGTAAGTTCATCAAATGGGACGAGGTAAATGTGCCGGACCCCGCGCCGCCCAGATCCGGGGACACCCCGCGTGCGCTATGTCCGATGCTGGGGATCCCCACGCCGGCCTTGCCTGGCTACGGCGCCCCTATTCCAGCCCGGCTGCACTCCGGAAACTTAAGTCCCCAGTCGTCCCGGTCATGAAGACTTTGTCCCCCCTAGCAAACCAGTTCCTCGGCAGGGGAAATCGGCGATCTCCACTCTTTGGAGCATACTTTGAGCCCCAGTAAATCCCGCGCCCCACTTCACTTGCCCTTTGCACCCCTCCCGGCCAGAGTAATTCTAGGTCCGGGACCCTGGCCTGGTCCCTAGACCCCTGCGGCGCTGGACGCCCTAGCAGGCTGGGGGGAGGGAGGAGGACTCGTCCTGGGTGGCTGCCGCTTTGACCCCGCTGTCCCCGGTGTCGAGCCCTGAGTGAGCTTCTCCATTCATCACTCCTTCGCCCTCTCTTGGCTTTTCGCCCTGCTTCTGGTTCCCAGCCCAGCTCCTGGGTCAGTTGGGAGAACGGAGTCACACCCCCTCTGCAGTGGACAGTCCCCCCAAGTTCCTCCACCCCTAGAAACTTTGCTCCCCACTCCTTAGTCTGGGACTTTGAACCCCAATAAATCCCGGCCTCCCCTTTCTACCCTCCCTGCTCCTGGTACTATCCAGATGCGCAAGCCCCCACCTGCTGCACCCCCATCTCGGTCCCGCGCCCCACCCACGTTTTCATACCGCCCCCTTCCCTCTTCCGAGCGCCCCTCCTTCCCCGGGGCCTTCACCCGGCGGGCCGCCAGAGCTTCCTAGCCGTTCCTCCCCGGTCAGGCCACAGGCCTGGAAGACGCTGGGCTCCTTTCCGGCTGGGTGGGGCTGGAAGGCGTGGGAGCTGGTGGGGGAGGGCTGGGGGCGTGTCCTGGGCGACAGGTGTGCGGGTGAGGGGTGCCTGGGTGCCCCCCGGGCCTGGGAGACCCCCTCCTTCAAGGCCAGTCTGAAGGGAAAAGTTTCCCCTTTTCCTTCCAGTGTGATAAACCCAAATAAGGAAGTGGGAACAAGGAGAGGGCCCTGGGGGTGGGGGTGGAGGTTGCCGACCAGGCCTGGGGTTGCAGAGCGGGGCCCAGACCCTGGGGAGGGGCCACCAGGTCCACAACAGTGGGGGACCTCGGGGCAGGACTGTGTTGGAAATCCCCAAGAGGGGCTGGGGCAGTGTGTCAGCACACCGTGGGAGGGAGCCATGCATCCTAGCTTTGAGGGTCCCCAGGAGTGTCCCCAGATCAGCTGCTGTCCTTTATAAGCAAAAGCTTGCATTGGGCGGAGCTGGTGCAATCTCCATTCTCCAGAAGTGGAGACTGAGGCCTGACTGGGGGTTGTGGCTGAGTCCAGGCACTGGGGCCCTGTGGATACCTTGCTTGGCCCCCTGCTTCCCAGATGATAGGACACTCTAAGGGTTCTCTTCTTGACCTTGGGCAAGCCCTAGCCCCCTGACCCTCATTTGGAGCTCCCACCTCACAGCGCCCTTAGTTGAGCCCATTACAGAATCAGACATCTGTAGGATGAAAGCAGAGGGTTTAGAAGCCTCACTCCAAAGGCTTCTAAACCCTAGAAGACCCCCAGTCTGTTTTTGTGCAAAATAGGCTCATCAGGAGGCCGAAGCAGAATTGAAGCAGGGTCGCAGCTTCTGCACACTTAAAACCACCCCTGGGGGCCCAGGAATGCAAACAGCTATATTTTTAGTGATGAGATTGTCCCCCCAGCTGTGAGCAACAGTTCTAGGGTGGCACCCAACTGGAGTTGGGGACCTCTTTTGACTGGAGGGGGGTTCTTTTTGTGATTAACTGTCTGCTCAGGTCCTAGGCAAGTCTGAGCTCTTGACGACACCTCTCTGGCTCTTGAGTCAGTCCTGAGTCGCCTGGAGTAGCCCTGGGAATGTGCCAGGCACTGGGCACTCTTCAGAAAATGGGGCTGGTTAGCTCTTTTCTTCCCTGCCTCCAGTCGCAGAGCTGTTTGGGAAGAGACAGCTCACACTGCCCAGCCCTGGACGGCTCGAGCCTCTGTAAGGTGGGGTGAGGGAGCAAGGTGGCCGGTGCTGGGCTTGGTGGCAGATTGTGAAGTAGTGGGCTAAGCATCATGAGGCCCTGGAGGCTGCAGATGGGCTTTGGAGTGAGGCTTCTAAACCCTCTGCTTTCATCCTACAGATGTCTGATTCTGTAATGGGCTCAACTAAGGGCGCTGTGAGGTGGGGGCTCCAACTGTCATGGAGCTCTTGGGCCTTCTGGGGAAACTGAGCCCAGGATAGGGTCTGGGGAGGCCCGCTAGCAGGTGGGCTAGATTTTGTGGGTAAAGAAGTTAGGAAATAATTTCCTTTTTTGATACTGGAATTAAACCTAGAGGAGGTCTACCATGAAGCTACATGCCCAGGCCTTTTTATTTTTGTGGTGCTGGGAGTTGAACCTAGGCCTTCTCTCTCTTTTTTTTTTTTTTTTTTTTTTGGTACTAGGGGTTGAACTCACAACCTCACGATTGTCAGGCAAGAACTGAGAGACGGGAAAAAAGACTTCCAGAGCAAAACAGGAGACACTGGGAGGGAGGTTGGGACCAGCACATCAAATGTCACACTGAAGACCTTGGCTTTGTTCTGAGGGCCACGGAAGCCATGGTGGACCTGTGGACTGGATGAGGCTTCCTCTTGGCCCCCTGGCAGGAATGTGGGTATGGACAGCTAGAAGGATTTGGGGCCCCAGCCTGCCTCAACCCTCCCTGAGCCCTGTTGTCCTGTGCTGTCCCTAGGAGACCTCTAGTCGGAATCTGGTAACCCTGCGTGTGGATTCCCATGGCTTCTTCTTGTACTGGACGGGACCCAACATGGTAAGGGCAGGTGCTGGTGGGGTCGGCACAGGCCCAGGTCCTTCTGCCCTGGGTGTGGGGCCCAGATGCTGGCTGACCTCTTCCTGGATCCCCAGACAGGAAGTGCTCCAGCAGGGCTGAGGGAGCGCCCTAGGTGGAGAACCTGGGGGCTCCTACTCTGGCCCTGTAGCTGCTTGACCACTCTGTAATATGGTTTCCCCAGGAAGTGGACACACTGGACATCAGCTCAATCAGGGACACACGGACAGGACGTTATGCTCGCCTGCCCAAGGTGCGTGGCCCAGGCCTGAGGGGAGGAGGTCCTAGGGGCTGGAACAGCCCCTCCTCACCCTTGGTTCTTGCCATTCAGGACCCCAAGATCCGGGAAGTGCTTGGCTTTGGGGGCCCTGATGCCCGGCTGGAGGAGAAGCTAATGACAGTGGTGGCTGGGCCAGACCCAGTAAATACCACATTCCTGAACTTCATGGCGGTGCAGGATGACACCGTCAAGGTGGGCCAGGGCTGAGGGGCAGCCTGAGGGGTCCCTGCCCTGTCATTCTCTGAGCACCTGCTGCGTCTCATGCCATTGTCTGACTTGATGTGTACCAGACCCTGTCCTGCGTGAGGGGCATGGTCCCTAGGAGCCAGCCCATCTCCCCATTTATCTCCTCCCTCTGTATCCTGACCCCCCAGGTCTGGTCTGAGGAGCTGTTCAAGCTGGCTATGAACATCCTGGCTCAGAACGCCTCTCGCAACACCTTCCTGCGAAAAGCGTGAGCTCAGGGCCACCCTGGTGGCACTTGGGTTTGGGGGGAAGTCATGTGGCCCTTCCCAGGGTGTGACTCCTGTACCTTCCTCCCCAGATACACGAAATTGAAGCTGCAGGTGAACCAGGATGGACGGATTCCTGTTAAGAAGTGAGCCCCGGGGCTGGGGATTTAGCTCAGCGGCATAAGCGCCTGCCTTGCAAGCAGGCAGTCTTAAGTTCGATCCCTGGTACTGATAAAAAGACAAAAAAAAAAAAAAAAGAAGAAGTGAGACCCCTTTTCCTTAGCATCTTCACTAACCTTGGTGATCCGTGATCCTTGCCCCCCACTGACCCTGACCCTCCTCCCTGAATCAGCATCCTCAAGATGTTCTCAGCAGACAAGAAGCGAGTGGAGACAGCACTGGAGTCCTGTGGCCTCAATTTCAACCGGGTGTGTGGGGTGGAGTGGGGCTGGGGGTTCCCACTCTTTGGGGCTGGATGTTGCAGGTGCTCACCTCCATTCCTCACCCCCAGAGTGAGTCCATCCGGCCTGATGAATTTTCTCTGGAAATCTTCGAGCGGTTCCTGAACAAGCTATGTCTGCGGCCAGACATTGACAAGATCCTGCTGGAGATGTAAGCAGGGCTGCGCCCATCCCCCGGTCCCCTGGGTTCCTGTGCCTGATCTCTGCTCTGTGTGCCTCCAGCCCTGCGAGACAGGGGCATGGTGGGTCAGGTCCCAGGGTACTGGGAAGGGGGCAGGATGAGCACAGTGCAGCGAGACTCAGAGCCACAGATCCTGTAGCTCAGTTACAGATAGCTTCGTGCCAGCCCTTTGCCATGGTTGGTTTACGAGATCCAAGTGGCCCAGACTTGTTATGGGACCTGCTTGAGCTCGTGTAGCAAGTGAGGGCTGGAGCCAAGTCTGGATCCAGGGTCTGGAAGCACAAGGTGAAGGCTGAGTATGTGGCAGCTTCTGAAGCCCTTGGTAATGTCATTGGCAGCTCTTCTGCTGCCCCTACAACGCTGAGCAGTCAGGAGTGTGGATGGGGAAACCGAGGCCCCAAAGGAGCAGAGACTTGCCCAGAGTTGTAATGTGTGGCTGCTGGAGCCAGGCACAAGGCCTTCAACTCCCTGTCCCAGGGTGAGGGCTGGCATAGGGGAGTACGTGAGCCTCCAGCCTGAGCCAACTTTTGGCCCCTCAGAGGTGCCAAGGGCAAGCCATACCTGACGCTGGAGCAGCTGATGGACTTCATCAACCAGAAGCAAAGGGACCCAAGGCTCAATGAAGTACTGTACCCACCTCTGAGGCCCTCCCAGGCCCGGCTGCTCATTGAGAAGTATGAGCCTAACCAGCAGTTCCTGGAGCGCGGTGAGCATTGAGGGGCCTAGGCGGGGGAGGGTGTGGAGGGCGGGACTGACCTGCCCCTGCTCCACCCCAGACCAGATGTCCATGGAGGGCTTCAGCCGCTACCTGGGAGGGGAGGAGAACGGCATCTTGCCCCTGGAGGCACTGGATCTGAGCATGGACATGACCCAGCCACTGAGCGCCTACTTCATCAATTCCTCACACAACACCTACCTCACAGGTGAGCGGGGCAACAGGTCCTCTGTCCTCCCCTGTCCTCTGGCCTAGGGCCACCTCTTTCCTTGAAGCACAGTTCTTTCACCTCATTTGCTCATTTGTGGGGCAGTGCTGGGAAGGCGGCAGGGGACAAATAACCTGCTCCCTGAAGGGGGGCCCCTCTAGGAGTTTGCCACTTTTGAGGTCAGAAATTGTCCCTGTAGAGGGACTGAGATGTGTATGAGAGGGCAATTTAGCAAAACTATGTCTCAAAATTTAAAAATTGTGCTAGAGATGTGGCTTAGTGGTAGAGTACTTGCCTGGTACATGCAGGGCCATGGGTTCAATTCCCAGCAGCACCCTCTCCTCAGTGAAAGAGAAGAAGGAAGAAAGGATGCGCGAGAGGCAGGTGGGGTCTGGGCTGGAGCAGGTGCGTGGGGAGGGAGGGGTGTGGAATGCCTGGGGACTCCCGAGGAGTAGGAGAGGCGACTTTGAGGGCAGCAAGCAAGTGGGGATGTTACCTGGTAGGCCTGTAGAAGGCTGCAGGAGGCTGCCGCCAGGTGCTCTATGGGGACTGAATTGGAGAGAGGGAAGGAGCCCCTTGGTCCCGAGGCAGGAGGCGGAGTGAAGACTGGGATAGATTGGTGTGGTCCTGGGAGTTATGGTAGATGTCAGGGGTGACCCCACAGTTCTGGCTGGTGGGGCAGGAGGGTGGTGGGGAGAAGATGAGAGAAGCCAGCCATGGAGGAAGGACCACACTAACCCAAGCTGGCTAGGCCTGCTGTGTGCCCATGTAGGTGGACACTGCAGTGAGGGCAGTGAGGGACCTGAGCCCCGCCCTGGGAGAGGTCACACTGGTTTTGTGCACAGGAGCTGTCCAGAGTGTGCTGGAGCTGCCATGGGGGCCTCTGTGTCCCCAGTGTGGCCTGATTGATGGCGGAGCTGGGGTGGTGAAAGGCTGGACAGGCAGGTGACCCTGGTGACACAGCCTCCCCCGCAGCGGGGCAGCTGGCTGGGGCCTCGTCGGTGGAGATGTATCGCCAGGTGCTGCTGTGGGGCTGCCGCTGTGTGGAACTGGACGTATGGAAGGGGCGGCCACCTGAGGAGGAGCCCTTCATCACCCATGGCTTCACCATGACTACTGAGGTGCCGCTGCGTGACGTGCTAGAGGCCATCGCTGAGTCCGCCTTCAAGACCTCGCCCTACCCTGTCATCCTGTCTTTCGAGAACCATGTGGACTCGTGAGTGGCTCCTATCTGGGGACCCCAGCCTCAGGCCCTCAGACCTGAGATGCCCGTCATGGAAATCTCTAATAGGGAGGCCTCTGATGGTGGTTTCCCCAGAACCCCAGAGACAGCCCCTTCCTCTGCGCTCTCATGACCCCTGACGCTGGGAACTTGCACCCACCTTGTGGGCTTCCTCCCCGCCCTGTTGCAGCCCCCCTCCAGGAACTCTGCCTCTGATCTCTGACCTTGGGCCTACAGGGCGAAGCAGCAGGCCAAGATGGCTGAGTACTGCCGCTCCATCTTCGGGGATGCGCTGCTCATCGACCCACTGGATAAGTACCCGGTATGGGGGCGCCCAGGCAGGTCACCCGGGAGCGAGGGGTGCTGTGGTAGGCCCTGACCTGTCTGTGCTTTCACCCAGCTGGCCGCGGGCACCTCCCTGCCCAGTCCCCAGGAGCTGATGGGCCGCATCCTGGTGAAGAACAAGAAGCGGCACCGGCCCAGCACCGGCCTGCCTGACAGCGGCGTGCGCAAGCGGCCGCTGGAGCAGAGCAACTCAGCCCTGAGCGAGAGCTCCGCTGCCACCGAGCCCTCCTCGCCCCAGCTGGGTAAGGCCTGCCTCGCCGTTCGCCTAGGTCCTGACCCTGGATCACTGCCACACTGGGTCGCTCCTGCGGCTGGCACCGATCTCCTTCCCCCAGCCATCGCCATCACCACCAAACCAAGCTCTGCCCCCATGCGTTTTGGTTCTGTCCAGTTCTGAACCCCTTATCCGTGGCCTCCCGCCCCACATGGCCCCCCTGAAGCTGGATTAGGGCTCCGACCTCTGACAGACCTCTACAAAGCATGTCCTTATGCGTTGGTGTGACCCTCAAACCCCGAGCTGACTCCAGCCACCCATGAGTTATAATTTCAACTAACTTTTGCCCTGTCACTTTATTGGGGACCCCTGACTTCTCATCTCGCTGAGTCCCCTTTGTGTATGTCTCTGACCAACGCTTTCCTATAACCTATCTTGTCCTCCTTTGCCCCTGCTATTGAGGCTGTTGTACCCCAATTCCTGACTTTTCACCTCTGAGCCACCCTGCCTACCTCCCTACTGAATATAATTCCAGACCTTCACCTTTGACTTATGACCCCTCTGAAATACCACTGGCTTTAATGCTTTCTAATCCCTGACCTCCGACCTCTCCCAGACTGGACTACCCAGGATATACCTTGACTTCCTCATGGAGTTGCCCTACACAACTTGTGCGCAGCCTCCAGGCTTCCTGAACATTGGCCTGCAGTCCTGATCTCGGACCTCTGACCCCTGCCTTCTACAGGGTCCCCCAGCTCCGACAGCTGCCCAGCCCTGAGCAATGGGGAGGAGGTGGGCCTCGAGAAACCTAGCCTGGAGCCCCGGAAGTCTCTAGGGGAGGAGAGCCTGAACCGGGGCTCAGATGTTCTTGGGCCTGCTGACCGTGAGGACGAGGAGGAGGATGAAGAGGAGGAAGAACCGACAGACCCCAAAAAGCCAACTACAGATGAGGTGAGAGCCACATGCGGGCAGGTCGGGGTGGGGCGCTGCTGGGCTCTGGGTCTCACTGACCAGACAGATGTCATCCCCGACCTTACAGTTTAGCATAGGTGTGCAGGGTAGGCGGTGTTTCTCAGTAAACCCGGAAGTGAGAAGACAGTGACGCTTGTGACCTGGGTAAAGGAGGTTGGGAACATAAGGTGCAAAAGGTCTAAGGCGGGGTCAGAGAGCGCAAAAGGAGAGGCCAGTGCAAAAAGAGAAGAGGTCAGACTGGCAGCAGATTTGAGGGGGGTGCATAGATAGGGGCCAGAGCTCCCCACAAAGGGGCTGAGTTAGAGCAGATGGTGAGGGGACAGTGACTGGAAGGAATGGCTTGGAATGGAAATTTGGGCTCATGGGCATGGGAGAAACTGAACTCCCCGGTGGGGAGGGGCTTCCAGCTTTGAGGGTCAGTAGGGGAGTGGCAAAGAGGCACAAATACCCTGGGGATGGGCAATGCAAGGGTGCAGGGCAGGGGTGCAATCCGGGGGGCTGGAGGGGCTCTCAGGGCGGGTGGCAATAGAATTGTCAGGCTCATGGTGATGACAGGGTCCTGTGGAAAGCTGCTGGCTTGCAACTGGAGGTGTGGGAAGAGGTCAGTACCTCCTTTGTGAGGACAAGCGAGGAAACATCCAGTGTGGCTGACTCTGGGTTCTGGGGGGTGGTCACAGGGCACAGCCAGCAGTGAGGTCAACGCCACGGAGGAGATGTCGACTCTTGTCAACTACATTGAGCCCGTCAAGTTCAAGTCCTTTGAGGCTGCTCGCAGTGAGTGGGGCTAGGTGAAGAGTGGGAGCCAGCCCTGCCCGGCTCTGCTAGCTCTGACCTCTCCCTCTGTTGCCCCCCAGAGAGGAACAAGTGCTTTGAGATGTCCTCCTTTGTGGAGACCAAAGCCATGGAGCAGCTGACCAAGAGCCCCATGGAGTTTGTGGAGTATCCTGCCAGGTGCTGTGGGTCAGGGTGGGCGGAGCTTGCAGGTGGTTCTGGTTTCCAACCCCGCTGGAACCCATGCAGGCACCTGGCACACAGCACCCAGGCCTGGGGTTAGGGCAGGTCTGGATTGTCATGGGGTGAGTCCAGGCTGAGAAGCGGGATTTAACAGAAATGAAGTTTTGCTGGGATTCCCAGGAAGGTAGGGCTTGGGCAGGAAGCAGGTAAGAAAGGGTGGGCACTGGTGCGCAGTGTGGCCTTGACTACCAACCTTAGATACAACAAGCAGCAGCTCAGCCGCATCTACCCCAAGGGCACACGTGTGGACTCCTCCAACTACATGCCACAGCTCTTCTGGAATGTGGGCTGCCAGCTCGTGGCACTCAATTTCCAGACCCTGGGTGAGTCCTGCCCCATAGCCTCTGCCCCCTGGCCTGCCCAGCCACCCTCCTATAGCACCTCTTACTGACTTCTGACCTGTGATTGAACTTGGCTAACAGATATGTGACCCTGTCCAGTCACCCTGAACTTCCACCTGGGTGAACCCCAGTGAGACCCCTTACTTGTCTGATCTTCCCTGATTTGGGCCCTTGGTGCTGGTTGATTCTACCCCTGACCCTGGGACCTAGACTCCTGACCCCTAGTAACCCCTGGGCTTTCTTTGCATGGCACTGTCCTACCTCTGGCTTTCTGACCCTGACTGAGCCACTGACTGACCCCGCCCTGCCCGTGCACCCCCAGACTTGCCAATGCAGCTCAATGCGGGTGTGTTTGAGTATAACGGGCGTAGTGGGTACCTGCTCAAGCCCGAGTTCATGCGGCGGCCAGATAAATCCTTCGACCCCTTCACGGAAGTCATCGTGGACGGCATCGTGGCCAATGCTTTGAGTGTCAAGGTGGGACTGGAAGGACCTGGGCCGGGTGTCCTGGGCGGGGCTCTGAACAGCTGCTGAGCCTCCTTGGCCCGCCTGCCCAGGTGATCTCGGGGCAGTTCCTGTCTGACAGGAAGGTGGGCATCTATGTAGAGGTGGACATGTTCGGACTTCCTATCGATACACGGCGCAAATACCGCACTCGGACATCTCAGGGAAACTCCTTCAATCCCGTCTGGGACGAAGAAATCTTTGAGTTCCCCAAGGTAAACCAGGTCCTGGGCCTGCCCCGACCTGTCTGGACAGGAACCAGGTACACTGGTGGTGGTGATGGGTCAAGGGACCTCCCAGGCCTTGTGTGTGTCAGAGTCAGGGTTCCCTGCCCTCTTTTGCATGAGAGAAGAGGTGGCAGAAAGGGAAGCCCAAAAGAGGGCCTGTCACCCCGCAGTGGGGAGCAGACATAGCTGGCCTTATCTCCGAGGCTTGGAAGCCTTTGCCTTGGCCTGAAATCTCAAGCATCTTCCGACCCATGGGGACTGAGCCTCTGCTTCTGACCTAGGCTGGAGCTGTCCTCGGTCCCCAATTCTCAGCTCATTCTATAGTTTTGAAGCCCACAGTAACCTGACTTGTCACCTAGTGGCCTTGTCTGCCTGTACCCATGGCTCAGGGTCCTTATGGCAACTGGTTACCCCTTGGGTCAGGCTGTGGAAGATGGGTCAGCTCAGCGGGGACAGTGGCCAGCAGTCAGCTTGTCCAAGCGTATAGCATGTTAGCCCAGTGGCTGTGTGTCCACTCTGTGGCTCAGTGGTCTGGGCCCACAGGTGGTGCTACCCACCCTGGCCTCGCTTCGCATTGCGGCCTTTGAGGAGGGCGGCAAGTTTGTGGGGCACCGGATCCTGCCTGTCTCTGCTATCCGCTCAGGTGAGGCCACAGTGGGCTCCGGGCAGCCTGGGGCCAATGTGTGGGGACACAGCCGGGCCCAGCAACCCCTCCTCCTGTTGCCCAGGGTACCACTATGTCTGCTTGCGGAACGAGGCCAACCAGCCGCTGTGCCTGCCAGCCCTGCTCATCTACACAGAGGCCTCTGACTATATCCCGGGTGACCGCCAGGGTGAGCTGGGGTTGGTCTGGTAGGGCCGGGGCAAGGAGGGTGGGTCCCAAAGAGAGTGGCACTGGGATGGTTCCTTAGTCCTTCAGTGGGGGAGGACACAGCCTGGGGGCTTCTGTCTCAGCCCCTGGCCTTCTGGTCCCCCAGATTATGCAGAAGCCCTGATCAACCCCATCAAGCATGTCAGCCTGATGGACCAGCGGGCCAAGCAGCTGGCTGCCCTTATTGGGGAGAGTGAGGTGAGCCTAGGTGATGGGGGGTTCGGGCCTCAGAGGTGGGCAGGGCTCAGGCTTGCCTTGATTCTGAGGCCAAGAGATGTGACTATGGTGGCTGTGACAGTGGGTCAGGTGGCAGGGCTGACAGGGCTTTCTGGCACAGAAAGGCCCGTGGGCTTCTCTCTGCTGCCCACACCTTACCGGCCTCCCAGCCCAGCCATCTGCTGCCTGCCCTGAGCAGGGCTGGTTGGTACCTTCCCCACCCATCCCCTCTGCCTGCCGCACAGCCTGCCTGCTTTCTGACCTCTTTTTCCCAAACCAGACTGCGAAGCCAAGTGAATGCCAAGTGCCAGTGCTTTGCCAGGCCTGGTGTGAGTTCTTTTCACCTCCTTGGCTCATCGAATCCTCCCAACCCCCAATTTGGTCTCTCTGTTCCCAGAGATGGACAGGAGGCCCCAGTGACTGTGTGAGGCTGCTGAGCTCAGTGGCCTGGTTGTGCCTCCAGCCCTTATTCCTGGCCTTGTCTATCACACTGCCTAGTACAAGGGACTTCTCGGTAGTAAGATTTGCATGCTTTTTTTGTCTTTTTGAGCCAGTTCAGGCTGGCCTTGAGCTCACTTTGTAGTCCAGGCTGGTCTCGAACTCGCAACGATCCTCCTGCCTCAGCCTCCAGAATGCTGGGATTACAGGCATAAGCCACCACGCCTGGCTTTCTGGTCTTTTCTGAGTCAGGGTTTTATTATATGTTTCAGGCTGGCCTTGAATTTGAGGCAATCCTCCTGCCTCAGCCTTCCAAGTGCTGGGATTACAGGTGTGGGCCACTGCTCCTGGCTTTGGGTTTTTCATTTAATTTGTTTGGTACCAGGGATTGAACTAATGACCTTGTGCTTGCCAAGCAGGTGTTTATGCCATTGAGCTAAATCCCTGGCCCTGTTTTGTTTTTTAATAGACAACACACACTTGCAAGGCAGGCGCTTATGCCACTGAGTTAAATCCCCAGCCCCTGGGAGGTCCATTCTTGTTTGATCAAAATGTTCTGTTTCAGAACATTTGATACTCTTCCCGGGTCTGTTTTGTTTTTTAAGATAGGGTCTTGCTTTGTAGTTCAGAGTTCAAGCTGCCTTGAACTTACTAGGTAGCCCAGGCTGGTCTTGAACTAGACAATCCTGCCTCAGCCCCCTGAGTGCTGGGATTACAGGCATGTGCCACCATCCCTGACTCCATTTTGTTATTTTGTTTTGGTGGCGCTGGGACTTGAACCCAGCACCTCAGGAATGCTGGGCCAGTGTTCTACCAATGAGCTATACCCCCAGCCCCAGCTGTGGAATCTTAAGGAAACAGAAACCATTTGCACTGGAGAGACCTCACAGTTAGACCAGGACTGGGGTTTCTTAAGCTTCAAGTGGGGTCAAAGCTGAAGTGCAGGGCTCCAGACCCCTTGGTCAGGGTGATTTGAGGCCATGGGAACCTTTCACACATGGGCACCTGGCAGCCAACAGGAGGTGGTGGCTTCTGTGGGGAGATTGGAGCAGAGGTTCTGCCTCCTCTGCAGACCAGTCTCTGCGGGCCTGTGGCGGGCAGTGAAGAGATGGCTGCAATTAAGGCTGCTGGCGCTGTTGGCAGGGAAGCCTGGTGCCCACTCTGTGGCCGCTTCCTTCGCTGATTTAATCAGGAGCTGAGCAGGGAGGGGCAGCGGCGACTGCAGGCAGGGGCGGCAGACCGCAGAGGGGAGGATTCTTGGAGCCATCAGCGGGCTCCTGAGCCCACGCCACAGGCCTGGCGCCAGACTGTTCCCTCTTCACTTTCTGTGGGTGTCACAGACAGGCCGACAGGGAGATGGCAGGTCAGGGCAGCCCTGGGTGACTAGGCATGAATGGCCTGGAGGGAGGGGCAGCTCTAGTAGGACCACCCCATTTTCTCCCACGCAGGCTCTGGGTGGCACAGAGACCTGTCAGGAGGGCCCGTCCCAGCAGCTGGCCTCCCAGCCACCCTCAAATCCTACACCCAGCCCTATGGATGCCTCTCCGCGCCGACCCCCTGGGTCCGCTACCTCTCCCACAAGTACCTCCCTCAGCAGCCCAGGTAGGGGGTGGCCAGGGTGGGAGGGGGCTGGTTTGAGGGGAGCGGCTCCCGCCACATCACTCTCTTCTCACCATGGCCTCTGTTCTCAGGGCAGAGGGATGATCTCATTGCCAGCATCCTCTCAGGTAGGGTCAGGGCCTGCTCAGGGGGGGGGCTGCCACCCAGAGGGCAGCCCGCCCACCTAACCATTCGCTTTGCTCTGGCTCACAGAGGTGGCTCCCATCCCCCTGGATGAGCTTCGAGGCCACAAGGCTTTGCTGAAGCTCCGGAGCCGGCAAGAGCGAGACCTGAGGGAGCTGTGCAAGAAGCATCAGCGGAAGGCCATTGCCCTGACCCGCCGCCTGCTCCAGGGCCTGACGCAGGCCCGGCCTGTGCCTGGGGTCCTGTGAGTGTCCCATGGCCACTGTCAGGAGTGTTGGTAGGAGGATGTGTGTGCATGTGGGTTCCGTGCCCAGTGGACTTGCAGACAAGGCCAGGGACTGCTTCAGGGGAGTATTTGGTATAGGGAAGGCATCCTAAACTGCGCCCCCTCTTTGCTCTGGAAGTGATGTCTTTTTTTTTTCTTTTTGAGCTCACTTTGTAGCCGAGGCCGGTCTCGAACTTGCAACAATCCTCCCATGTCAGCCTCTGAGTGCTGGAATTACAGGAATGTGCCACAATGCTGGGCTAATGCCTCTTTTGTTTTTAGTCTTTTTTTTTTTTTTTTTTTTTTTAAGTGTTTTAGAAACAGGGTCTTGCTATGCAGTTCAGGCTGGCCTTTAGCTCACTTTGTAACCCAGGATGGTCTCAAACTTTCAATGATCCTCCTGCCTCAGCCTTCCTAGTTCTGGGATTACAGGCATGTACCATCATGCCTGCTGACCTGATACTTCTTTTGAAGTCCCTTATCAGAAGCATTTGTGAAAACAGGATCCCATGATCTGGGCAGAGCTAATGGTGCAGGGCCTTATGGTTGCACGACAGATCTCACTTGCAGGGTCATGCTCTGGCCCCTCTGCTTTCCCATCCAAGGGACCCAGCATCACCCAGAAGATTCTTTCCACAGGGGCAGGGCTGCTGACTCAGAAGACATGAAGGAGGAGGAGGAGGTGAAGCAGTACCGAGAGTTCCAGAACAGGCAGGTGCAGAGCCTGCTGGAGCTAAGAGAGGCCCAGGCGGATGTGGAGGCTGAGCGCAGGCTGGAATACCTGAGGCAGGTGAGGAGCATGGCGGCCAGGGAGCCAGGGATGCTACCATGCAGTGACATCAGCCTTCTGGTACTCACTGGCTGCCTGTGTCCCCAGACTCAGCAGCGGCTCAGAGAGATTGTGGTGGAAGCACACACAGCTCAGTTCAAGAGGCTGAAGGAGATGAATGACAGGTGAAGGCTAAGGGTCTTATGTTGGGAGGCGTGGCAGGACTCCTGGTACTGGAAGGATAGGATCTCCAGTCCTGCCCCTGATGCCTGCTCTTCTCCCTGCCTTTGCAGAGAGAAGAAGGAGCTGCAGAAGATCCTGGACAGGAAGCGCCATAACAGTATCTCAGAAGCCAAGACGAGGGAGAAACATAAGAAGGAGGCGTAAGGGTGTTGGGGCTGGGAGCCATTTGGGTGCTGGGGAGGCAGGCGGTGCCTGGGCACCAAGCCCACTTTGCCTTCCTCCTATGCAGGGAACTGACAGAGATCAATCGGAGGCACATCACTGAGTCGGTCAACGCCATCCGTCGGGTGAGTAAGGCTCCTGGGATGCCCAGCCCTACCCCCGATTCTTCCTTCATCAGAAAGCCACCTCCTTGCTGTCTGGCCTGGAACCATGTTGTACTCAAAAGCCTTCTAGAGTCTCCTCCCTGGGCCTTTCTGTACTAGTGCCCTGTAGCTTTGGAGTCCTTGGGCCTAGTCTCAACCCTGGGAGCCTTCACCACCTGGTTTTTGTGCCCAGCCAGAGCCCCAGGGCCCTAGCCCCCTCAGCTGAGCCCTTGCCCACCCTCACAGCTGGAGGAGGCCCAGAAGCAGCGGCATGACCGCCTGGTGGCTGGGCAGCAGCAGGTCCTACAGCAGCTGGCAGAAGAGGAGCCCAAAGTGAGACTATGGAGGAGGTGGGCAGGTGGACTGGTGGGTGCCCAGTGTCCTGGCCTCCCTGAGACACCCATCCTCTTCCCACAGCTGCTGGCCCAGCTGACCCAGGAATGTCAGGATCAGCGGGCGAGGCTGCCCCTGGAGATCCGCCGGAGCCTGCTGGGCGAGACGCTGGAGGGGCAGGTGGATGGGCCGCTGGTGGCCTGTGCCAGCAATGGTCACGCAGCTGGGAGCAGTGGGCACCTGTCTGGTACTGACTTGGAGAGCCAGGAGGAGAACACACAGCTTTGAACTGGCTGAGCAGGAATGGCCACCGAGTCAGGGTGGGCACGGGGCAGAGGGCAGCAGAAGACACTAATTTTTTTTAACTTTTGACCTTTAGAAATTTTATTTTTTTAAACCTGGGGCAATGCCCCACTAACTCCCTTCATCCTCCTGGGACCGCCTTACCTCCTTCCTAACTTTAGTCCTAGGGAGGGGCCTGGGCCAGGCCTTGCCCGCCATGACATCCACACTCCAGATGGCCATTGTTTTCCTGACTTCCCAGGGAGCACTGAGTGGAGACTTAGAGCTCTGGGAAGTCTGGGTCACATTCTTTCTCTGTCCTTTGGGTTTTTTTTTTTTTTACATGAATAAAAGTGGATTTCAGGGACCCTGTGTGCAGTGTGGTTTGGAAAGGACTCAGTCCTAGGCCCTGTTTCCTCAGTGGCCTCAATTTCTTCATCTATAAAATGGGCTGCGGTCAGGCACCAAGCACAAGTGTTGCTGGCTTTGAACTTGACTGCTTTGCTCAGGGCCTGCAGTGACCTCCTCACTGCCACAGGAAGCTCTGGCTAACCCTGGGCCTGTTTCTCTGCCCTCTTACCTCCAGTTTGGTGTCCTGGTTTCCCCCTGCCCATGCTTTCCTCCCTCCCAGGCTCTTCCTGTCCCCTCTTCACAGAGGCACAGGCTGCTTCAGGAAGCCTTCCCTGCCCCACTTCCTGTTGCCTGATATGACCCAAGTACCCGGCCTACTCTGGGCCTTCCACAGGCAGCTGAGTGGGGACAGACAGCTAAGTGGACCTGGCCTTTAGAGATAGGTGGGGAAAGGGCCTGCCTGTGACTCCTGGAAGAAGGGAAGCACACAGCCCCAGACTTGGCAGGGCTAAGACACCCTGGTCCCCCTCATTCCTGTGAGAGATGTTCTGCCTCTTTTCCAGATGAGGAGACTAAGGTCCTGAGTGGAAGTCACAAACGCTGGGCAACAACTAACTGGAGATGCCCTGACCTGGAGGCAGGGTAGCGTGGACCCTCTGTGGCCCACTGTCTTCGGCCAGCCTAGAGGACCTGCTTCATGCTCGGGACCAGCGCTCGGAGGGTGCGGCTGCTCTGCAGTAGGGTCAGGCTGGCACCTCTTCAAGGCCTCTCCCTGCTTCCTGGCGCTTCCCAGGCTGGCTGCTCCCTCCTCCAGAGGAAGGGAGCCTCTTATCTGCACTTATCGCCTGCCAATGGAGTGTTTTCTTTGCTTTGTTTTTGCTGCAGCCTCAGGCAAACAGATGGGGTGGAGAGGCTGGAGAAACTGGGTGGCCAGAGAGGGGCCTTCCCAGGCTGGGACCTCTGCCCCCAAGCACTTCTTCAGGACACAGTACCACTGCCAGGCTTTTCTCCGGCTATGAGACCTCCCATCCTTTTACCCCATTTGCTGGCTTAGTTCCCCAGCATCAATTCTCATTTCCCTGACAGACTGACCAGCATTTACTCAAGCACTCCAAATTGGTCCTCGGTTCTCAAAATCCCTGCTGTGCCCGGTGAGCCCCTCAGAATCCTAGGGCTGTGCCCTCAGGCACAGCCTGAGGTTCAGGGCTGTGAACCTTTCCCTGGGTTCACTCTGCAGGAGTCACAGTCCAAGACACCCCCACCCCTTTTTGGTCAGGTAATGCTGGAGCTCCACACCTCCCTGCCTCAGGTTCCTGGAAGCATGAACAAGCCGGGCAGTGGCGCAGTCCCTGCCACTCGAGCTCAAGGCACTGGCCAGGGCTAATCAGGGGCCAATAAATCTCTTGGACTCATGCTGGAGGCCTGCTCTAGGTCCCTGTGCCGAAGCCTCTGTTCCCCACAGGCCGCGCCGCCCCCGCCCTGAGTGTCCCGCCAGGTCCCTGCGCAGTGCTGGCCCCAGGCCGGCCACACAGTAGCTGCCTGCGAGACGCAAGGGCTGACCCAGATCGGGACAAATGACCCCCTCCCCCCGCCCCGGGGAGCCAGTTTGCAGAATTCCAACCGCAGCCCTACGGTTCCCAACTACCGTCTTAGATAAGGTTCCGGGGCCGAGCCACACCCCGCTACCCCGAAACCAACCGAGGCTCTGCTTGCCGTCTCGACCCCTTCCTAGTCTGTGTCCCTGGATATCACCCCAAAATAGCCTCTGTTTCCCTCATATAAAATGGGGTCATTTTGAAGCTATCGATGATAGAGCTGCCCCGGTCGATGGTATCCCAAGCAAGAGACACGGGGGCACAGACTGCACTTTATTAACAAGTTTGTGCGGAGCACAGGTGTGCAGCGTCACCTTAGAAAGGGCGCTGGCAGAGGAACGGTTAATCACAGAGCGCTTCCCAGCGCAGGCGCCTTGGGCACCAACAGCACGTGGCTGGGCGACTTCCGGCGGCAGAGGTCGGAACCTTCAGACTTCCGTGCTCTAAATCAGACCGACTCCCTGCGAAAGGTATACAACAGATGCTCTCGTGCAAGGGCTGTAGAAGACTCCCGCCCACACCCAAGAAGGCCGTCAACGGAACCGGGGTGGGTGGGGTTCCGGGAACGTGGGGGCGGAAGTTTACTGGGAGGGGGCGGAGCCTCCTCTCCCCAAGTTCCGATCCCACCAGGACTGGATGGCCCGTGTCCAATTAGAGTTCTGCCACAGCTTCGTCGCTGTGCCCGCGCTCTTCGGGCGAGGAAGACCCTTCGGGGGTGAGAAAAGGGAAAGTTTAAGTGTGTTAGCTTACTCTGGCTGGAATCGGGGTCTTTCATGTCCGAAGTCCCAGCTCCAAGTGAGACCCTCGGGGAAATGAAGACTAGTTTCCAACCTGCCCTGTACCAAGTGGCCATGGAAACACGACAGGACGCATAGGCCCTTTAGGAACGGGGCCTCGAGTGAGCCAAAAAGAGACGACGCCAAGGAACTAAACTAGAAAGGTCAGAGAACTAACACCTACAAGATGGGGATCATAACTCAGAAATTAAAGAGACTCTGAAACTGGGACTAAATCACCGAGACAGCCGAAAAGGGCCAGCAGACCTCATGCTGTAAAGCTCTGGGGAATCCAGGAGCTCTGCCCTGGAGTGCGTTTGGATTACAGATCCTGGACAAGCTAGAACTTGGAAGGCAGAAGTTGGTGAGAAGAAAGGCGTCATGAGACTACAAGTCCCGGCATGCCCTGGGACTCGGAGCGAGGCTACCCTATGTGGGAAGCGGCCTGGGCTACAAGTCTCGCCGTTATAGGGACCCGGAAGAAGCAGGCTGTGTGGCTGACGCCCTGGGACAAGAGACAGACTAGGGGGTGGGTGCTACAGACCATCAGACCGTGGGACTACAGGTCCTGGCACATCGTGGCCTGGCGCTCACCTTGAAGGAGTCCACGAACTCGTCGCTCATCCTCCGGAGCTCTCGGCCGTAGCGCTGTGCAGCCCAGAGGTTGGGTGGCGCCGAGCGCGAGCGGCCCCGGAATGGACTGAGCTCCTCCTCCATCCCTTCCTCCTCCTCAGTCCCTGCAGGATAAGACCGGTGGCGACTCCGGGTCTCCATAGCCACAGTGCCTGCAGAAAGGGTCCAGGGTGACAGGAGCCTTAATTTCTCTGTGTCCCTAGCACTGCTGAAGCCTTTCCTTACGTAATTAACTGTCCTTCTAATGTCTGTGCATCACTCTTCACCTCTAACAGCCCTGTTGCCCTTCTGTGTAAATGAGGGATGCGCGGGGCTTTTATGAGGAATAGAGTTAAAGTCACATGAATCCCGTAAGTCCCCATGAATGCCAATAATAGAGAAGGCCTATAAAATGGCACTCCACTGTGCAGGACACAAAATAAAAACAAGAAGTTGTAATCAGCCGGGCATGGTGACTTTGTGCACCTGTAGTCCCAGCACTCAGGAGGCTGAGGCAGGAGGATCACCACAAATTTGTGGCCAGCCTACGCTACAGAGTGAGTTCAAGTCCAGCCTGAACTACACAGGGAGACCCTGCTTCAAACAAACCAAACAAAACAGAATAGGTGTAATCATCTGTGTAAATCCATGGGGCCTCCCAGAAATCCCTGCATAGGGAAGTATCACTCCAGCTCTACAGGTGCACTGCAAGGCCCCTGCAGAACAAAATGCAGCAACACTTCTGTATTCCCCACTGTCCGTGCTTTGGAATGCCCGAAGTTGTTGACCTTTTTTAGGTGCCATTTCTGGAACACTTCCTATGTGCTAGGGCTTAAGCACTCCTCCACTATCCGCTCAACTACCCAGGTGGCCTCCACTTTACAGACGACAAGGCAAAGGTCAGGAAGTTGAGACTTGCCATGTAGCTGTGAAGCCCTGAGATTGGAAGTCCCCAGGTTTGGTGGGATCCATGGTCTGTGGGGGCTGTGGACCTTTTCCCTTGACCAACACCCTCTAACTCCTTACTCCAGTTTCATCCTTTATATGAGCGGACAGTCCCACCCCTGGTGCCAGGAGCATGTTAAGGGCACCTCAAGTAGAGTGTAGCAGACCTGTCTGGGAGTTGCAGGCCTCCTGCAGCCGTATTCAATGCAGCTCTGCTGTGGTCCTTCTCAGCTGCGTGCCATTCTGACTGCCAACTGTACCCCTTTGTCCTGACTGACAAAGACTAGAACCACTTGTGGGAGCAGAGAAGCCAGAGACACGGCCAGGTGTGTCTGGCAGGAAAGGCTTTTTGGAGGAGGTGAGATTCAGGCCAGGCTCCGATGCCAGGGGATAACAATGTCCTCAAAGGGGCATAGGCAAAGCCCTGCCGGCCAGCTGCAGTCTCTCCGCAGGCCTCAGCTCTAGAAAGGCCTGGTGTAAGACAGCGTGGGCAGTGTCCCCCTCAGGTGGGGACACTGAAAGCCTTCCAGGGGCTTCTGAATCCAGCCAGGTGGACCCAACCATGTCCACATCCCCACTTTGTGTCCTCAGGCCACTTCTCTAAGCCTTGGACACCTCAGTGTCTCTCTCTGTGAGCCGAGCAGTCTCTTATCTGGCAGGATTATAGACAGTTAAATTAGGGAGAAATGGGCTAGGCAGCCAGAGAGGGCGGGGCCTTCAAGGAAGGCCGTGCAGAAGATGAGAACACATAACTGTAGCTGGAGGTGCATTTGAAAATGAAACTCACAATGGCCAGATTTACATCCTTCCTTAAGGGACAATGGAAATCTGAGATTATTAGTAACACCCTTTTAACATTTCCCCTATAAATAAACTGTTATCTCATTAGAGATGGGTCAGCCTTTCCCACCCACTAAAACCAGAAGACTAAAGATAGTAAAACTAAGACTATAGATTATCAATCAAGGTTAATAATGTCATCCATGTAGGGGCTAGGTGACCTTCCCATTGGATCAATATTACCTACCTGGCTATACTTGTAATCTTATTAGTTGATCACTGTTTTGTTGTTTTGGCTTATTTTTTTTTTTTTTATCAGTACGGGGGATCGAACTCACGACCACCTGCTTGCAAGGCAGGTGCTTATGCCGCTGAGCTAAATTCCCAGCCCCTGTTTTGGCTTTTTGGAGACGGTGTCTCACTGTGTGGTTCAGGCTGGACTTGAACTCATTAAGTAGCCCAGGCTGGCCTCAAACTTGAAGTGGTCTTCCTGCTTCAATCTCCCTGCTGCGATTGTAGGCATGTGCCAGTACGCCTGGCTGACTGATCATAGTTTAACTCATGATTTTGCTCTATAAAACTTTTGAGAAGTGGGCTCATTGGCAACCCACTGGGGTCCCCTCCTGTCTTTCAGGAGTTATCCCTGTTCCCCAATAAGTTTTCCTACTGTCAATCTGTTATTCCTTAGCATTCATTCTTTGATTTCAGGGAACACAAACTCAGCGTATTGCACATCTAGCAGGTTGGGAGTTACATTTATTTCTCCTAGATCATTTAGAGGTCCTACATTACCAAGACCCTATGTGAGCAAACAGGGTACAGGAAAGCACCCTACTTTTCATATTCTGAGGCCTCCCAGCTCCCCGCAAACGTAGGCACCAAATTCTATTTTGGGAGGAGGTAACTGAAATACAGGGTCTCACTATGTGGCCTCACTCCAAGCTGCCTAAGTGCTGGGATTACAGCTAAATTCCCCCTATTTTCCAAATGAGGAAGAAGAGGCAGTGAGAGGTTAGGAATTAGAGGACCTGGATTGGCAGCCTGCTGCTTAGGGAACGCCAGCTGACCTCCACTGGCTCTGTCTGAGAAGCCACAGCACTGCTGCAAGGCACAGGGGGAAGGTGAGGGCCCACACACAGGTGGGTACCTGCTCTGGGTACCACCCCACACGCAGAGATGAAAACACACAGAAGAGGGTAACCCAGCAGCAGAGCACTTCCCCAGGGAGGTCCCCAGCTCCAGATAGCAAAATAAACAATGCATTAATTCTTTGCATCCTGACCATACGCAGTCAGGCAGGTTCAAGGTCACAAAACTAGTAAGTGACAGAGATGGGATCTGAACAACTAGTCTTACTCCAGCTACAACCTGTTTAACTCCTGCAGGGACCCTGGAGTCCCAGTTTGGGGAAAGACACCCCTGGGTCCCCTGTTGGTCAGCTTAGCCAGGAGCCTGTCCTATGGAAGGGAGGATTATTACCAAAGGCTTGGATTTAGCAATGCCAACCCATCCCATCATCAAAATGATACTTGCTTTGTTTTGTTTGTTGAGACAGGGTCTCACTATGCAGCTCAGGCTGGCTCTGAACTCACTATGCTGCTAAGGCTGGCCTTCAAACGCACAGTGATCCTCCTACCTCTGCTTCCCCCAGTATTAAGGATTACAGACATGTGCTACCACACCCAGCTAAGACTGAACATTTTTTTTTTTTTTTGAGACAAGGTCTTGCTATGTGGTTCTGGCTATCCTTGAACTCACAATGTAGCCCAAGCTGGCATTGAATTTGCAGTGATCCTCCTGCTTTACCCTCTCAAAGAGTGCTAGGATTATAGGCATGGGACATCAGATCTAGTTAAATTGAATTTTTTTGGTACCGAGGACTTGTACCTGCCAGGCAGGCACTTGTGCTGCTGAGCTAAATCCCTGGCCTGCTAAACTGAATTTTAATGTCTCTTTTTACTGGAAAGAAAGCTAGGAGATTTTCTGTCAACTCCCTGAGGGGGAGGAATGGGCAGTGTGTAACCATGCTGTCCCCTCTAGGGGGAGAAACAGGGTATGGGTCCTCTCTGGTGTGAGGCTGGCTGGGTAACCAGTCTGCCCCTCATGCCATCCTCCAGAGTCTGGCCTGGGACTGGGGAGCAGAGGGAGAGCTGACTGACTAGCTGTGCCCTAACCCCTGGCAAAGCACGTGTAGTTCTGAATTCCTTCCCCACCAGACTTCCAGGTAGGTGGGTGCCACTGAATACATCCAGTGCTGACGGCAAAGCTTTTAAACCGAGTGCTGACTACAACCCAAAACCCACTTATTTATTGCAAAGTGCCAGTCCTGCAATTAAGCCTGAATACTGAGGTTTTAGTTTAAGAAATGACTCAGACATTAACATCTTTTATCTTTTTTTTTTTTTTTGAGACAGGGTCTTACTATGCAGTTCAGGCTGGGCTTGAGCTCACTTTGTAGCCCAGGCTGGTCTCAAACTCGCAATGATCCTCCTGCCTCAGCCTCCTGAGTGCTGGTATTACAGGCATATACCACCATGCCCAGCTACATCTTTTGTCTTAAAGCAATGGGACCTGGTGGTGAATGCCATTGTGAAAGCTGAGGCAGGAGGCTCGCTGCAAATTTAGCCTCGTTATACAGCAAGACCCTGTCTCAAAAGTGAACACAAAAAAACTATACTTTAAAGAAGTGAGGCCACACACACTCTGCCTGTCCTTGGGGGCAGAGTGTCCATGGCATTTGTGCAAGGGTCCCTCTGAGTTGCAAATTTGACTAAAGCCAGCCCCTTTGGGCTGGCAGAGAACATCCCTCGCTCTGCTCAGAGTTGAGGAAATCAGAAAACAAGCTTGGTATGGTGGTATACACCTGTAACCCCAGCATTCTGGGAAAATGAGGCAGGAAGATCCCAAGTTCGAGCCCACCTGGGCAATTTTGTGATTTAGTGAAACCCTGTCTCAAGATAATAAAATGCAAGAGGGTTGGTATCGTAGCTGAGTGTGAATGCCCTGGGGTCTGTCCTCTTTACCTAAGAAAAGAAGTCCAGAGTGGTGGCGCACACCTGTGATCCTAGCTACTAGGAAGGCTGAGGCCCAAGGGAGGCAAGTTTGAGACTAGCCTGGGCAATTTAGCAGGACCCTGACTCAAAATTTTAAAATTTAGTTATTTTTATTTTTAGGGGTTTTGAGACAGTCTTGCTGGATAGCTCAGGCTGCCTTGAACTCGTGGCAATCTTCTCACCTGGGATTATACGTGTGAGCCACCACACCTGGCTAAAAATTAAAGAAAAATTTAAAATGAAGCCTGGTGTATTCCAGCACTGGGAGGCTGCCTGGGCAGCCTGGGCTACATAGTGAGATCTTGTCTCAAAACACTAAAAACAGATGAGCTGGGCAGTACTCTTGGGGGGAGGGGGAGTATGTTTTAAATGTCTTAGCAGTGTTTCATTTAAGATACTTGGGTGTTGCGTGTGGTGGTGCACGCCTGTAATCCCAGCACTTCGGGCCTGAGGCAGGATTGCAGCGAGTTCAAGGCCAGCCCAGACTACACAGTAAATTTGAGGCCAGTCTACACTCGAGGGAGAGCCTGTCTCAAAAAACAAACAAAAAAAAAAAAAAAAAAAAGAAGAATGAAAAAAACGGCAGTTTATTGATGTTTTATTAGAATTGATCCGACTTCCCTGTAAGTGCAAGTGGCTGGGGAGGTGACTCCATGGCACAGCCCTTACCTAACACTGCTGAGGCCTCGGGTTCAATCATGTAGTGTCAAGTGAGAAAAACATTAATTTGTGGTTCCTAAGAAAATCATGGTATTGGGGCTGGGGATTTAGCTCAGCGGCATAAGCGCCTGCCTTGCAAGCAGGCAGTTGGGAGTTCGATCCCCAGTACCGATAAAAAAAAAAAAGAAAAGAAAAGAAAAAGAAAATCATGGTATTTTGGGTAAAAAAAGTAAGAATAAAAATAAAAAGAGCCACACATGAGGTGTATGTCGTGGCTGGGGGTGGGCTAGCGTGTGTGAAGCCTGGGGTCCGTCCCCAGAACCACACCAAACAAACAAGCAAGCTAATGACACAGCTCACAAGGATTTAGTCTGTGGCTATGGTTTTTTAGCACTTTCCCTAAAATCCAAAGGTCTGTATTCTGCCCCAAACCTTCCACGATGGTTGCTTTGTTCCCTTTTATTGAGATGAGGTCCCAGCTGCTTGGTGTGACCTTCAAGCCCCTGACCTTGTGATTCTAAACTATACTTCACCTGCCTGCCTCTGAGGGCGCACAGAGTGTCCACGTGAACGGTGAATGGTGGCCCCGACCTGCTTGCCACAAGCACCTTACAAGGACAGTGATGTGGAGGGGCCTCTGTGAGAGGTCCTGGTTCGAAGCACTTTTCCAAGTGGTGACCAGTCCTCTGTGTGACCTTCTGCAGTGGGGCCATTGTGACTCCATTTCCCAGAGGAGGACACTAAGGCAGAGCCAGCAGTCTGTCTGCTCGCTCAGGAAGGGCAGCACTGCACCTGAACCCCATGGTGTGGCAAGGCCAACCCCCTGCCTGTGGCACTGCACACCCTTCCCTGGCTGGGTCTACATCTGCCCCTTGGCTTGTTACAGCTGCAGGCTGCAGTCCCCACCTGGACTTGCATACTGTCCGGCAGGGGGCAGATCCAGCAGGGAGGGCAGGGCAGGGCAGGAGGCCGCAGTGCTGGCAGCCTCCAGGTGAGATCGCTCCTTTAACAACCTGTGTAAAGGCTGTTCGGACTTACTGCCCACTGCTCAGATTCACAAGCTGCCTTTTTTGTTTGTTTGAGTTGTATAGTTCTATACATCTCGTTTACAGAGAGCCACAATGTCCTTTGTAAAAATTTTATTTCCTGTGTGTGTGTGTGTGTGTGTGTGTGTATGTGTTTTGGTACTGGGAATCGAACTCAGGACCTTGCACTTGCCAGGCAGGTGCTATGCCACTGAGCTACATTCCCAGCCCATTTTTTTGTATTTTGAGACAAGTGTGTTGCTACGTAGTTCAGGCCAGGTTGAACTCACCATGTAGCATAAGCTGGCTTCCAACTCTTAGTGATTTTCCTGCCTCAGCCTCCCAAATGCTGGAATTACAGGTGTGCACCAGCACATCTGGCTTTTCAACATCTTTTCTCGTATGATCTGCCATGACTATACGGTGGTATAATTTGTGCTGCTTGTACTGTACGGTACTGTAGTTTTACCTTCTGTTAAACATCACAGTACTGCAAGCTGTAGTTATTCAAAGAAAAGCGAAGTCATCAAGTTGGAGTTACTTCTTTGAGCACGCTTTTGCTCTGAGCGCTGTCATGTACACACCATACATATGATGCCTCCCGTAGCAGCCTAACCCCGGGAACTTCACTCGGCCATGAGGCGAGGAAGGTCCTGCCTGCAGATCCTTGATAGAAAATCACTGGCTTTTCAGATACTAAAAGCACTTCAGAAATCCCAGGGAGGGACTGGGGCTGAGCTCAGCAGTACAGCCACGTAGGGGAGCCCCTGGACTCCAACTCCAGCAGCGCCACAAAAAAATTATTTTTTAAAAAAAGAGTTATTTTTTTTTTTTTTTCGAGACAAGGTCTTGCTATATAGTTCAGGATGCCCTTGAATTATGTAGCCTAGGCTGGCCTTGAATTCATGGTGATACTCCTGCTTCAGCCTCCTGAGTGTGCCACAGGGATGAGCCACCATGCCCAGCTAAAAATAAAAAAATTGGAAATAGCAGTCCTGAGCTATCCGCCTGCAGATGGGCAAAGACTCCTAGGGGCCGCAGATGCTCTCTCTCCCTCCTCCCCACCTCTGACCTAGTGCGGGCCTCCACACCTAGCACAAACTTCAGGCTCCTCCACTCCCAAGTTGCACCCCTAACCTCTACATGGCTTTGCCCCATACCCCCACCGCCTGTATGACCACACCTGTCCTTCTCTTCAGACTTCTTCCCAGGAGCACAACCTAGACTGAATGCCATCACACACTTCCACCCCGGCTTCCCACCTGGCCACCAGAACACCATCCCTCCTGTCCCATCGTCCCCTTGGCACCTGACTCCAGGAGGCTGACTCCCCTGTCCTGGGCCTGCTCTCCTCCCCATGGCTGCCAGCTTGTCCCACAGCCGCCATTCCCCTTGCATTTACCCTCCAGCCGTGGCCCTGGATGGCCCGGGACAAACATGGCTTTGGTCAACTCCCTGCTGCCACTCCTCCGGTGCCCACCTGGGCATCCCAGCTGGTGGCCTAAAAGGCGCCTCTGGATCCACATGTCTGAGCAGGCCTCTGATCTTCCTCTTCCCCTGTGTGCTCAGGGCCATTTTATCCCTCTAGGTACTTGGGCTGAACTCCGGTGTGTCATCCTTCACCCCTCTTTCCCTGGTACCACACATCCAATCCATCAGCAAATCCTGCCAGCTTTACCCCAAAATAAGTCCAACGTCTGGGGGTCTAGCTACCTGGTAAAGTGCTTGCCTAGCATGTGAGAACCTGGGTTGTTACTTAAAGTTGAAGGTTACAATGGCCTTTGAAGCCTTGCACAGGTTGGACAGAGCTCTAAATATCTTCCTTCCCTCACTGCCCTTGAGCCGCGGGAGCCTGTGTAGTCTTGCTCTCCAGGCCTCCCCTTGCCTGATCTCTCCTCCCACGGGCATCAAAGTGGTTCAGCCTCAGCCCCTGCTCCCCTGGCTCCAGTGCTGCCTCAATTACAGTCACCCCACCAGCCCTCAGCCCTCTTCAGAGCCCAGCCTTTGTCATCTAACACATTCTATAATTTCCTTTTTTAAAACAAAAACAAAAACAGAGTCTCACTAAGTAGTTCAAGCTGGCCCTGAACTCTTGGCAAATCTTTCCCTGCTCAGCCTCCCCAAGTGCTGGGGTCACAGGTGTGTCCACCACGCCTGGCTGTATTATCCTTTTGTATTTGCTGTTTATGGCCTTTCTCCTCCTATTTCGCTAGAACATGTGATCTCCATAGGGCAAAGATTCTGCCTTTTGTTCCTGATGTGACCTGAACGACTAAACATGGGCCACAGGCAACGCTCTCCGTGAAGAAGAGTAAGTACTGAGGATGAAGGGTGGGGGGCCTGCTAGGTAGGGGTGGAGAGCAGATAAAGGAGGTAGAGAACAGGCGGAGAGCAGAAACAACACTGAATGCCAAATCTGGATGGTAAAGTGTACATGTAAGGCAGAAACGGAGCTGCCCTGCTATCCATTTTTATTCCCTAAAATGAGACATTTGCGTTTCGAGTCAGCGACATGACTCCCTTTTGCTTTTAGATGATCTCTGGTTGTTCTAAGTACCAAGACCTGAGCCAGGCCTCAGGAGGTGGGGACTAGAGAGAAAGAGTCGCTGCTCAATGTGCTGCCCAGCTACATACTGGCCCACTACCTGGGAGGGGTACCTGCCACTTGTCATTTGCCTGCAAGGACAGCCCCAGTGTGGGAGCCACAAAAGAACTAGGCATAGACCCAGCACTCAGAAGGATGAGGCGGAAGGGTTGCTGTGAGTTTAAGCCCAGCCTGTGTGAGTTCAATGCCCTGGACCACATAGTGAGACCCTGTCGCAAACAGAGAGAGAGAGAGAGAGAGAGAGAGAGAGAGAGAGAGAGAGAGAGAACCGTAGGCAGCTGAGAGACTGATCCAGGGAAGAGGTTCCCTGGGGCAAGGAGTCTTCCAGCCCTGGTTCCTATATGGGTAATGCCAAGCTTTCATGACCTTAGGCAAGTCACTTTCCCTTTCTGGATCACTGTCCTGCATCCATTGGCCAGGCTCCATAATAACAGGCACCTTTGAGCATTTACTATATACCAGCTCTATAATTAAGTGCTTACTTGATCATTCCTGCTAATTAACTCAATAATTCTGTAATGGTGGTGATGAATTGGCTTTCAGAAGAGGACACTGAAGCTCACGGAGGTCAAGGACTCCCCCCAAATCTTCAGTGAGTGTGGATGCAACAGGCAGGTAGGTGGAGGCAGTGGTGGGGTACCTACCTCCATGGTGGCTCCTGCTGCTTCTCAGCTGCCTCTGCTGGTGACTGGTGTCCCCCAGGAAGCCTCCTGCTGGGCTGCTGCCTAGCTCGTCCCCTGTGGGGCTGGGGCCCAGGCCCCTCTCTTCAGAGCTGGAGTCTTCCTGCTCACTTGGCTCAAACTCTGGGATCTGGAACATGCTCTGGGCTGTGGGGACAAGATAGCATGCAGTCAGGAACAGCTGGATAAAAGGTGGCCTTGGGAGGCAGGAGACTGGTATCGTGGGTCCTTCAGCCACCTAGAGCCCCTAGGCCTGCCCTCTCTCCAGGCCCTCATCTATCTGTTGCATCTGGCTGGGCAGGGACCTCAGGCTGCTCACACAGGCCCCAATTTTCCCCTCAGGGCCCTGGTGTCCCAGGATCGCCCAGGGCCTCCAAACAGGCCCTAACCCGTCCCGTCCCGCCCTGCCCCGCCCCGCCCGTAGTGCCGGCATGCAAGTCTCACCCTAAGCCCGATCTCGAGGCCCCTGAGCCGGGCCCGCCGCCTCTCTCAAGTACTGAGGGTGTCCAACCCTAGTTTCCTGGGCAACGCGAACTGTCACCGACCCGGGCCAATCAGCCCTGGAGAAGAAGGCCGGGCTGGCCCGGAGGCTGGCGGAGGAGGGACCGCCTCCGAGCGGGCCCCGCCCCCCGCCGCCCGCCCCCAAGTCTCCGGATGCCCAGCTCAGACTTCCTTAAAAATCTTTCGGCGTGGATAGGAACGCGTGAGGCGTCACTGGAGTCAGCATGTGGGATCTGAAGGACTGTTTCTTGCTGACGAGTCCTTCTGGGACTTCGTTTCCTCCCCCGTAAAATGGAGATAATGACGCCTCCCTTGGGAGCCGGTGAACACTTTGTAAACAGTGATGATTACTGCGGGAGAAAGCACCCTGCAAAGCCGTAATTGACGCTCAGCCGTCGGATGCAATCACTGTTGCTACTGTTATTGCTCCGCCTGCATTCGGCCCAGGAATTCCCGTTCACGCGAGTGGCAGCCTCGCGCTGCCCACCGCGCGTCGGGGACCCCTCCCCGCGCTACTTCTGCAGCGCTAGAGCTAAGAGGGCGGCCCTGCGCGGGCAGGATGGCTGCGCGGATGCGGGAAGGGGACAGGAAACCCTGTTTGGATAAGCCTTAGTGCTCCGTTGCGGGCCGATAACCGGCCAGAGGAACAAGGTCCGCGGGCTGGGGTCTCGGGAGGGACTTCCGGCCCAGGTCCGGGGGCGTGGCCTAGGGGCCATATTTGCTATGGGCGGAAGTTTCCTTCAGCGACCCGGTGAGGGGAAGCGGTTGCCGCCCCCATCCGGGCAGCTCGATACCAATTTGGGGATAGGGGGAATCTAAGAGTGGAACCTGGCAGCCTCCCAAACAAGGGAGGGCCGGCGGCCCACTCGGACACCCGCTGGATAGGGCACAGCCTCCGCGTCTCGGCTGCTCGCTGTCCCTGGTAACCCACGGTGCCCGTCGGCGGCGCAGATCCCGCCTATTCTTGAATGGTCCCACGCCGGGCGCGGCGTGCCGCTGCGGAGCCCCGGCCAGCCCCTGCGCAACTTGCGTAGTGAACGGTGCCCGCGCAGGCGCAGGAGCGGGTGAAGCAGCGGGAGACGGGGAGCTGGAGCGTAGGGTCCAGCAACCAGACCCCGCTTGTCCAGCTGCGGCCTGAGGAACTGAGCATCGGCCTCTTCCCGCCCCCCGCGACTTGAGGGTGGATGCGGGGGGTGGGCAACGGCTGGAATTCAGAGGACAGACGAAGATACCTTCCCGGATTACTGGAGGGGAGAGAGCCCCCAAGCTTGGGGAGGGGGAGAGCCGGGCGTTGGGCGTCCCCGCGGCGGCCACTGCTCTCAGCCGGCGGGCATCGGCTGGCTCTCCCCCTCCTGCCAGACCGACACTAACGACCAAGGCTCCTCTCCTTCAGCCTCTGCATCCCCTGGCTAGGGGGAGACCTCGGGAGATTCATTCCCCCAAACCCTACCCCATCAGCTTTGGAGAGGAAAAACTGCACTCCCCAAGTGAGGGGCCCAGGGCCCACGCTGCCTGTGCCCCCAAAAGGCAAGGGTCTCATTTGAAGAGGAAGACTGACCAGCCACAACTTCTTTCCCCCTGAGTCCCCATCTCTGTCACTGCACCCTGCAATTCCCACCGTGTTGTATTTATTTCCCGGCCCCCAGCCAGCCCATATCTATCTCTGGTGTTTAGGCCTCCCTCCCTGACATGGAGAGTAACCTGTCTGGCCTGGTGCCTGCTGCTGGGCTTGTGCCTGCGCTGCCACCTACAGTGACCCTGGGACTGACTGCGGCTTACACCACTTTGTATGCCCTACTCTTCTTTTCTGTCTATGCCCAGCTCTGGCTGGTGCTTCTGTATGGGCACAAGCGTCTCAGCTATCAGACGGTGTTCCTGGCACTCTGTCTGCTCTGGGCCGCCTTGCGCACCACCCTTTTTTCCTTCTACTTCCGAGATACATCCCGGGCCAACCACCTGGGGCCCTTGCCCTTCTGGCTTCTCTACTGCTGTCCTGTCTGTCTGCAGTTCTTCACCCTGACGCTCATGAACCTCTACTTTGCCCAGGTAACTATGGTGATGGGTGGGGGTTGTTGGGGAAGAAATCCCAAGGACCCAAAAGAGTGATGGGCATCTCTGCTCCCAGGTGGTGTTCAAGGCCAAGGCAAAGCGTCGGCCACAGATGAGCCGAGGCCTGTGAGTACTTGGGATGCTGGTGGGCTCAGCATTCTGGAGCAGAGAGCAGCCTACCCTGTAGATTTGAGACAAAGATAATCCAGGGAGTGTTTGTGAGAGAGCTTGGAAAAGCTAAAGCACCTGGCACAGATGGCTCAGCAGAGGTATTGCCTGCACGAGGGGCGACAGTAAAAGAAACAGTTGGTGATTACTTCGAGGATACCAAAGTCATCTGGGACGGAGAAAAAACAGGAAGCTACAGCCCATGGAATTGCTAAGCCAATTGCGATTCTCGGTGACCTTGGGCTGCAGTATTCCTGTCAATTGTACAGTGTCTCCTAGTTTTTAAGAGCTTTCACAAACTTCTTTTTGTTTACAACTTACCTGAAAGGATATTCTTATTCTCATATGAGAGAGAAAGAAACTGAGGCCCAACAAGGTAGAGCAACATGTTGAAGGTCACATAGGTGGCAGAAGGCAGAGCCAGGGCTCACACTCAGAATGTTGACTCCCAATGGAGTGACGTTTCCAACATGCCACAGCGGTCAGTCACTATACCTCTTTGGGTCTCAGTTTCCCCAGCTATTAAACTAGAGGAGCAGGGGTGGGGATTTAGCTCAGTGGCATAAGTGCCTGCCTGGCAAGCATGAGGTCCTGAGTTCAATCCCCGTTACAAACAAAAAGGAAACTGGAGGAGCAGGGTTTAGAGGGGACAGTCTGAGTCTTACTGACACTGGGGTCCCCTGGCAGGGGGATGGAGGATGGGTGGTGGGTACCAAGGGCAGTCAGTGCACTGGGGCTGACTGTACTGTGGGCTCCAGGTTGGCCGTCCGAGGGGCCTTTGTGGGGGCCTCGCTGCTTTTTCTGCTGGTGAACGTGCTGTGTGCAGTGCTGTCCCGCAGGCGCCGGGCACAGCCGTGGGCCCTACTGCTGGTGCGCGTCCTGGTGAGCGATTCCCTCTTCGTCATCTGTGCTCTGTCTCTTGCTGCCTGTCTCTGCCTTGTTGCCAGGCGAGCTCCCTCTACTAGCATCTACCTGGAGGCCAAGGTAGGGCCACAAACCTTGATGCCCAAGTGTCCTGGGGGATCTTTGAGCAGTAGTCTTAAAGGTCATAGAGGAAGCTGGGAGCCTCCTCTCCCTGAGGGTCCTCTGTTGTCATCTGTGCCAGGGGACCAGTGTGTGCCAGGCAGCTGCCATGGGTGGTGCCATGGTTCTGCTGTATGCCAGCCGGGCCTGTTATAACCTGGCAGCCCTGGCTTTGGCCCCCCGGAGCCGGCTGGATGCCTTTGACTATGATTGGTACAACGTATCTGATCAGGTGGGTATTTGACGTGTCTGCCCCTTCCTTAGTAGCCGTGGTGGTGCCTAGTTGCCCCAGGCCCTTCCAGCAGCCCTCTGGCACAACTGAAGACTGGCATGAGCTTTTGCCTTCCCCCAGGCGGACCTGGTAAATGACCTGGGGAACAAAGGCTACCTGGTGTTTGGCCTCATTCTCTTTGTGTGGGAGCTGCTGCCCACCACCCTGCTAGTGGGCTTCTTCCGAGTGCACCGGCCTCCACAGGACCTGGTGAGGATCTCTGCTCACTTCTCAGGGCCACGGGAGAGGGCTGGAACATGGGGATCCTGGGCTGGGGTCTTCCGACAGTCGGAGTGGGTGCTGGAAAGCATCAGTGGCAATGCTTGGCCCTCTCCCCAGAGCACCCGCCACATCCTGAATGGGCAGGTCTTTGGCTCCCGTTCCTACTTCTTTGACCGGGCTGGGCACTGTGAGGATGAGGCCTGTTCCTGGGAGAACAGCCGGGGAGAGAGCACCAGGTAGGAGCCCACTATGCCCACTATATCCTTGGCTCCTGCCCGACTCCCAGTAGGGGAACTGGGAGCAGGGTCCCCCATTTCACCACCACCCTAACCTTTGTCTCCCCTTGAGGAGGTCCCCTCTGGATTTCTACTATTAAAATCCATGCCCTGCACGGGCATGGTGGCATACCCCTGTAATCCTAGCTCTTGGGAGGCTGAGGCAAGAGGATTCCCCATAAGTTTGGGGCCAGCCTGGGCTACATAGTGAGTTCAAGGCCAGCCTGAACTATATAGTGAGACCCTGTCTCAAAACAAAACAACCCCTAGCCCTTGCCCCAGATATTGTTGCTCTGGACTCTGGAAATCCAAGTCACTGGGGGCTCTATCTGAAGCCTTTCTTCCTCCCCTGACTCCTGAATGTGACCCTGGTTGCCGCCTTGAGACTGACCCTGCTTCTTTGCCTGCAGCATGTCGGGCAGCCTGGGCTCGGGCAGCTGGTATGGTGCCATCGGGCGTGAGCCGGGCTGGTGCGGGGGCAGCCAGACGAGGACCACTCCTCTGCTCTTCTCCCAGGTTCCAGGACCCGGTGGCCACCACCACAGCCTTTACTCTACCCCGCAGACGTGACCCCCTCTCCACTGCCCCTCTAGAACACCCATACCTGAATCCCCCTTTCCCTGGCCCCTGTGCCAAGTTTATCTGCCGCTTCTTGATCAGGATCCTGGGGTGATGGCTGCCCCCTCCTGTAGCCAGCCCCTTGCTGCTCCTGTCGTAGTCAGCTTATGCCACCCTCCTAAGATGGGGGACATGGGCCTGGCTGCCAGATGCCCTCAGCGCCCTGGCATGACCTACCACCTCCGCTTCCACGCCGGAGCCAGCTACCTCTCCTGTGCCTGCCACTCAATAAACAGTGTCTGTGCCCTGGTCTGTTCTCTTGTCTGCTGCTTGTCTGCTTTGTGTTCCTCTCCTCTGCCTCAAACTGATCAGTGACTGGCCTTTGAAGGGGGCTTTTAGGCTGGGCAGGGGCACTCAGCCTCCTTAGGACTGGTGGGCAGGGAGGGGGGACCTGCCATCTTCCAGGGAAGACAGCCCACCCTGGTCTTTGTTCTCAGATCTCTCCTGGCCGTCATAGCCCTGATCTATGTTTTCTCACTGTGGTCTAGATTAGCCTTGAATTTATAGTGATCTTCCTGCTCAGCATGTACCACCATAATAACTTTGCTCTGATGCCACATCTACTCCCCCCAAAATAGTTTGTATCCCCCAACATTTTTTTTAAACCAGTCATGGTGGCACATTCCTATAATCCAAGCACTCAGGAGAGAGGCAAGAGAATCACTGAATTTATTCAAAGTGAGCCTGAGCTCCACAGTAAGTTCAAGGCCAGCCTGAATTACATAGGTTCTATCTCAACAACAAATACCCCCCAAAAGTCCTATTTTGTAAGATAAAAGAGAAGGGGTCTCCCTTCGTAGCCCATGCTGGTCTTGGGCTGGATTCAAGCAGTTCCCCTACCTCAGCCACTGCACAGGTAGCTGGGACTACGTGCCCACACCAGTGTGCCTGGCCTGAAGTATGTGACAGTCTGATGCTGGAATGTAGCTCAGTGGAAGAGGCCTTGTTTGATGTGCACAAGACCTTAGATTCTGTCCCTGTACTGGGGATCCCCTCCTTTATGAAGCCTTTCATATCAGGTCAAGGCCCCTCTCCTGAGCCACCCAGCACTGGGATGGAAGATGTGGCTTTTAGGCATTTTAACCCAAGTGGTGGGGGCTTTGTGGAGACCTGGTTTTCTTATCACCATTTCTAATCTGGCCTTTGGCCCCAGGGGTTACTGAGGGGCTGCAGAGGTGGTGCTGGTGTGGGAGGGGAGCAGCTTGTCTGACCAAGGTGTGGGTTTGCCTACATGGCGCTGTGTCTGGGGGATCCTGAGGGCCCTACTTCAGGGGCTGCTCCTAATAGCACAGTGACTGCCCTATGCTCCTGTCACCCTGGCAGATCTGGGAGGTGTTTATCATAGCCTCTGACTCCTACATCCTTAACAGTTCCAGCTTCCCCGGGTTCCCAGGGCCTAGCACTGAGCCTGTCTGGAAATGCTTTGCTTGGGACTATTGCTGGGGAAAGGTCATCTGTACCGCACAGAGAACCAGCTCGAGCCTGGACACTTTTCATTATAAAGGAAGTTGCTAACGTTGGTAGGGCATTTCATTGTTCGTGCCAGGCTGTGCTTTGAGCATTTATAAACACTGGCCTCTTAAAAGCCTTGAACATCACCCCAAGTGATAATTAATCACACTTTTTCTTTAAATGAGAACAGGGAGACTCCAGAGATTGAGAACTTGCCCAGGCCCTCTGCTGGTAGGAAGTGGTAGCTTTACAGCCCAGGTTTAAAACACTTGCCTTGGGGTTCAAGGACCCCAGGCGGCCAGGGGAGGGTCTTTGATGGCTCCTAGGTTGTAAAGAAGTGGGTGAGAGCAGCAAGGGGAGGGCTTAGGATGGCCCTGGGTCTTGCCCGTTTTGGCAGCAGGGAGGGAATGGTGGCACCAGGGCGGCCCAGACCTCTGAGGTTGACTCCTGGGCCTGGGTGAGGGCCAAAGGCTGGGGACACGGGAAGAGGGGGCAGGAGTGCCTGGCAGTGACTTCCCAGATCTAGGTCCCCAGCACCTACGGGTAGCTTTGGAGTGATTCTCGCCACCTCTTGGTCCCCAGGGACCCCTCCTTCATTACTGCTGAGCCCAAACGCCATGCAGTCCCAGGGGAGGTGAAATAAGGGCCCTTCCCAATCCTGTAATGGGCCTGGAAGAAGCCAGATTACCGTGGTCCGTGTCCAGAGACATGGGCCAGCAGATGCCCAGACTGGGGCCGTGCCGGTGACCATACAGAGCTGCGGTCCGACGCCAGAAGATTAGACCCAAGCCGCGATCCGGCTTGGCGTTTCTGCGACCCACCGGACCAGCTGGAGAGACAGGCGGGCGGTCTCAGGTAAAAGGTTTGGCGCAAGCGAGCTGGCCGGGGGCGCCGGCGGCGAGGGCGCGGCACCCAGCGCGGCACGGCGCCGCAGGGGTTAAATGCGAGAGGAGGGGGCTTCTGGGGGCGAGGGGGGGGTCCCAGCCCCGGCGGCCGCCTGCCCCGCCCCTGTCGCCGCCGCCGCCTCCGCGGCCCTGCCGGCACCTGGGAGGCGGCGCGGGAGCCGGACCGCAGCCGCAGCGCAGTGGGGCCGACAGTGAGTGCGGGGTGGGCGCGGGGACGCGGGCACGGGCACGCGGGCACGGGCTCCCAGGGGCGACCGGCCGGCCGGGGAGCCCCCCCAACGCGTGGGCGTCTCCGGGAGTGGCGCGGCCCTAAGCCCGCCGCCCGTCACGCTCCGAAGCGTCGGCGTGGGGACGCGGGGAGGCGGTGGGGGCCGGGGTGCGGCGCGCGTGGATGGCGCGGTGGCCCCGCGGGCCGAGGCGTGCCCACACGTGTGCGTGGGCCTCTAGGTGCCGAGCCTTGGCCGGCGCGCCCCTGAGAGCCCGGGAACCCCGGGTCTGCAGGAGCGTGCGGGTGGCGGGTATGTGCGGCCGGGGCGCACTGCGCGCGGGACCTGCAAGGGGCAGCGTGGGCGCGCGGGCTTTGTGCCCGCGTGTGTCGGAGCGTGTCCGGCCGTGTGGACGAGTGTGTATACGCGCGTGCGTGTGGGTGCTACCTTCCCTGTCCCGGGAGCTGACAGCTGTCCCGGGGGCTGCTGCACAAGTCGGGCCCTTCCTGCCCCTCCTCCTGGGAACCCAGCGCCCTTCCTCCTCCCCGCACCGTGCCGCGCCTGGCCTCGCCCAGAACCCGCTCCTGGGTTCCTCGAAAGCCTGTCGGGGCACTGGAGGGTCCCTGGAGGCTCTCTGTCAGGCCTATCAGGAGGAGAGGGGGCGCCGAGAGGGTGCTGCAAGCTGGCTGAGCCCCGGGTGAGCCGGCCAGCCCTATTTGTCCACTCCTCCACTCCTTTCCCTCCGCGAGCGCCTCCTCCTCAGAAAGCCTTTCCAAACAGCCCCGGCCCAATACTTTGCCCCACTCGCCCTTCCTCTCCTGAGCCACTCTCCCGCCTTTCCCTTTCCGGTGTCCTCTCCTCACACCCCGGAGCCCCTGAGGGTCGGGCAGTGGAGGTAAGAGGTTCAGGGTGTCTCTGCACCAAGTGGCCAGCCGGAGGGATGTGAGGGGGACCTCTCTATGGACAGTAAGTCGGGGGCTCCTAGGCCTTGGGGGCGTGCAGAGGAATGGGTGGAGGAGGGTGTGGGCTGCCAGGCGAGTTTATTGACCCCGGCATCCCTGGTTCTGCCCACAGTGACCGCTGCTCCCCTGGAGCCTCCTGCCCTACCTCCGCCTCCATCGGCGGCGGGCGGCGGAACTGGCCCAGCCCCTGGGCGCGCCATGCGCAGCACCACCCTCCTGGCGCTGCTGGCCTTGGTCCTGCTCTACTTGGTATCGGGTGCCCTGGTGTTCCAGGCCCTGGAGCAGCCCTATGAGCAGCAGGCTCAGAAGGACTTGGGGGAGACCCGTGAGAAGTTCCTGAGGGCCCATCCATGTGTGAGCCAGCACGAGCTGAGTCTCTTCATCAAGGTGCGTGGGCCCAGTGCCTCTTCGACAGTTGCCCATCTGGGCCCTTAGGCTGGGTGTTATTTCCAGACACAGTTCCTGAGGACTGGGTACAGGAGAGGGGGTGCTGGAGAGGGCAGGGGCTGGATCTAGGTCTCTTGAGTGTGGCATGGTCTTTCATTTTCCTTGCTGTGCTTGGCACCTGGTTGTGCTCCTGGAATGTCTGTGTGAGGGCTATGGAACAGAGGAACATTGAATGAATGAATGGAGAAGGAGGCACAAGGCACACTGCGTCTGCACAGGTCTAACACACCAGTTTAGTTACCACATAAAACTCAGGGTGTCCAGTTAGGTGTGAATTTTAACTAAATCATTCTCATACAAGTATGTCCCATCCACTGTCTTTCTTTGCCAAAGCTGACAGCCCTTCCTACATTAGCACCTATACATTTTTGGAGTCACAGATGCCCTTGAGAAACCCAAGAACACTAAAAAACTCCCCCTCCTCCCGCAAATGTGCATATCAGCACATACAGAGGACTGCAAAGCATTCTTGCTCTTGCCACTGTGGACACTGGAATAGGGGGACCCTTCCCCCCAACATGCACTTAACCAGACAGGCAAAGAAGGAGGTGGGCAGAGTCAGATTGGGGCTCCCTGAGTTACTTTTGGTCAGCTTCCTTCCAGTCACTACGGAGAGGTCTGGCCTTCATCTTTTGGGGGTACAGTCAATGAGCACCTCTTGCTTTCTCTGATTTCTGAGTCATCAACTGAAACAGTATGATTTAACTTTGATCAATTAGTATTTACAACTTCATTGATGAGTACCCAACTCTGTCCCCTGCCTGTTATTGGTGGCAGGAGAGGCTACTAGTGTGGAAGGGTCTGTGTTTCAGCTGCTTCCCAGGGGGGAGGACCCAGGGCAGGGACACCTTATCTGTCTCTGACATTTCCAGAAAGCAAGAGAGGCCTGGATGGAAAATGCACTTGGCCAGACCACAGAGCAGAGGGAGGGAGTGTGACCTATTTTATCTTCACTGTGCAATCACTTTTTTTCCTGGATAAGAAAAAAAAAAAAAAAAGGGAGGTGCAGGACCCGAAAGCGGTGGGCACAGCTGCTTCACTTCTCTTCCATAGCGAAAGGCACTTCTTAAATTAGCTGTGCTGCAGTTGTGCTTGTAAGAACTGTGTGCTGGGGCCACAGGTAAGCGACGGCCACTGAGGTGGAGCAGATGCAGGCTACACTTAGACGATGTCACATCTAGGTGAAGGGAAAGAGCCTCAGACAAAGCACTGTAGGGTGCAGTGGAAAGGAAGCTCATTTTCCTTCTTCCTCCTTTAGCACCGCTCGAATGCTGGGCTCTGGGCTGCCTTCAATTGAGGGAGAGAGCTGGTGATCAAAATGAACAGAACAGGAGGGGTTCAGTTTAGGGATTGGGAACAAATGACTCCCAGGCAGAGGAGCAGCACAGGCAAAAGTGTGGAAACTGGAAAGTTCTAGTGTGTCTTGCAGAACCTGGAGTGAGCAGATGCCTAGTCATTTGTTTGTTTGTTTTTGTCTTCTTGAGACAGGGTCTCTATACAGTTCAGGCTGGCCTTGAGCTTGATTTGTAGCCCAGGCTGGTCTCAAACACAAACGATCTTCCTGACTCAGCTTCCCTGAGTGCTGGGATTACAGGCGTGAGCCACCATGCCCAGCTGATGCCTAGTCATTTGAAGCAGAAATTAGAACACAGGATGACAAAGGATTTTTTCCTTCTAAGTAGTGAATTTATTGGAAAAGTGTTTCAAAATAAAAATTAAATCACTTTTAATCAGACATTTCATCTCTTGCCTTTATTAAAGTTGTTATTACAGGGGCTGGGGGTTTAGCTCAGCGGCATAAGCACCTGCCTTGCAAGCAGGCGGTCGTGAGTTCGATCCCCGGTACCGATAAAAATGAAAAAAAAAAAAAAAAAAAGTTGTTATTACAGGAAATGGAATCATCTCGTAAACTTGGGAGAAGGCTGCTATAACTCAGAGCCTCAAAAGAGAAGACTAGGGGCAGGGAGGTGGGACCAGTTTAGAAAAGGCCTTGTGTGCTGGGTGGAGACTCTAGGGTCTTCTCCAGCCAGAATGGAGCTTGGAGGGTTTGGGGCGGTCCCTGTAGACAGATTAATTGGGATGTCTCTTGCTAATGGGGACTGTATTCAGAGAGAAAAAAAGGTGAGATATTCTTCTCCACAGACTGTCCTTGTGCTCCTAGAGGAAGGGGCCCTCATCCCAATTCCTTGATCTCTATCACTTAGAATACCAGGAAGTGGCTTAAGGCAAGAAAATCACAAGTTCAAGGCCAGCCTTGGCCACTAAGTGAGAATAAATTAAAAGGCTGGGGATATAGCTCTGTAGTAAAGCACTCCTGGGTTTAAACAAAACAAAACAAAAAATACAGAACCCAGGCCTGGGATTTAGCTCATTGGTGTAAGCACTTGCTTGGTAAGTGCAAGGTCCTGAGTTTGAAAAAAAAAAAAAAAAACCCAGACCCCTGTCTGAGGGACCTGCAGGCTGGCATGAGGATAAACATCTGGACACTTCATTCAGTAATTCTTAGTGAGCACCTACTATATAACATTGAGTTTAGCTTGGACTTTAGAGTGTGTGTGTGTGTGTGTGTGTGTGTGTGTGTGTGTGAACATCCTAAAACTGGATGTGAACTCTGATATTTGAACCTTTCTGGAGGAAAGGCCTCTAATTCATTAGATGTCTAAATCAAGGGATATCAGCTCTGTTTTCTTAGGAGCAGTGGGAGTGTTGGGGTCTGATACACCTGGAAATCATAGGGTACAGTTACCACGTGGGAATTTTTCTGACAGACACCATGTTTACCGTGTTGTGCTTTAACGCTTTACAAATGACCTGTGAGGTTGGTGCTGTATGTGCCCCTTGACAGATGCAGAAACTGAGGCAGAGTTAATGTATCCTTGGTCACACAGCACCAAGATTTGAACCCAGGCAGGCTGGTCTCAGGAGCTGTGCTTCTGATTGTATGGTTGGAAGTCTATTGTGTGAGGTCAGGGACAGCTCCTCAGTGTTTCTGAAATACACAGAGCTCAGACAAACCTGCTGCAGTGGGTGGGACGCCCACTTTGTGTCCTCTGCTGTAAGATAGGGAGGACCAGCCTCGAAGCTGGAAGCACAGAAGAACTTGGGTTCCTCCTTCTGTGTCTTGCTCTCCAGGAGGTGGCGGATGCCCTGGGAGGGGGCGCGGACCCAGAAACCAACTCGACTAATATCAGCAACCACTCAGCCTGGAACCTGGGCAGTGCCTTCTTTTTCTCAGGAACCATCATCACCACCATCGGTGGGAGAAAAGATGGGGGCCATTGAAGGGGGGTGGGGAGAGGAGTTTCCCGAGGGGAAGGTGCAGGGAGTGGCTGGGGTGCCAGGTGCGCCTAGACTTCTGCGCTGCCTCTCTGCCCAGGCTATGGTAACGCAGCCCTGCGCACAGATGCCGGCCGCCTCTTCTGCATTTTTTATGCACTGGTGGGGATCCCACTGTTCGGGATCCTGCTTGCAGGAGTCGGGGATCGCCTGGGCTCCTCGCTGCGCCGTGGAATTGGTCACATCGAAGCAATCTTTCTGGTGAGCTGGTCTGCACCTTGTGTGCTTTTGCATTGGATGAAGATGCCCTGCCATAGGTCCCTGCCAACTGACTGTGCACCTCTAGAGGGGTGGGCACCACCTGTCATCGACACGGGGCAGGATGAGGTGTGGTGGTGGGGAGGGGATGGAGGTCCTTAGTGTCTCCTATGGTCCTGCCTATCGCTCCTCCTTGCAGAAGTGGCATGTGCCACCCGAGCTGGTGCGCGTGCTGTCGGCGATGCTCTTCCTGCTGATTGGCTGCCTGCTCTTTGTCCTCACGCCCACATTTGTGTTCTGCTATATGGAGGACTGGAGCAAGCTGGAGGCCATCTACTTTGTCATAGTGACGCTCACCACTGTGGGCTTCGGGGATTATGTGGCTGGTGAGGCTGTTGTTTTTTGCATTGCATGTCCCTATTTGATTGTAGGGTCTTTCCCTCCAAGTTCCAGGTGCTGCCTCTGTGCCCCTTCTACCATCACGGAACCATTACACATACACCTCTCCTTGTGCACATGTACCTGATTGTATGCCTGCAGTCCTGTGCATGCTCATGCATATATTAAGCATACCTCTCAAATGTGTCACCTTCTTGCATGATGGCATCTGCTCTTGCACACTGTCTTGCATCCTTCAACTCATGTACCGCCCTTCCTGCACACATTCATACATTCTAGCACAAGCCCTTTGCCCTGGGGAGGCCATGCTGTGACAGTGAGGCAGGAAAAACAGGCAGTGAACAGGCGGCTCCCGGGCTTGCCATACAATCAACTTTCCTCCCTTCCTGGTGGCATCCCAGGCGCTGACCCCAAGCAGGACTCTCCAGCCTACCAGCCTCTGGTGTGGTTCTGGATCCTGCTGGGCCTGGCCTACTTCGCCTCGGTGCTCACCACCATCGGGAACTGGTTGAGAGCTGTGTCCCGTCGCACACGGGCAGAGGTATGCGTGTTGGGGTCGGTGCCTCCAGCACATTCCCTGAGCTGGTTGGCAGTCTGTCTCCCTTCCAGAGTGTGAGCCTCTCATGGCAGAGACTGAGGGACACTTTGTGTCTGACAACTCAACCACCTCTGTCCTTATGGCGGGGCTGTCAGATGTAGCACATAAAGGCTCAGAGGGCAAGCAGCTGTGGTGGCTCATGTGCCTGTGATCTCAAGCTCTCTGGGAAGCTGAAGCAGGAAGATCATGTGTTCAGCCCAGCCTGGGCAATTTGGCGACTTAAAGAGACCCTGTCTCAAAATTTAAATAAATAAATAAATACGGCTGGGGATGTAGTTTAGTGTGAAGGCCCTGGGCTCAATCCCCTGTGTGGGACGGGGGGGGGGGGCGGGGGGGGGCGGGGGGGGATGCAGAAAGCCCAGTTAAATGTGAATTACCGGTAAACGACAAATAAAATTTTAGGATGCGCTCTAAACGTTGCACGGGGCATACTTCTACTGCAATGTCTCTTGTTATTACCTGTTGGAAACACCCAGCCTGGTAGAGGGAGCAGGGGTCTTAGGGGTTTTCCAAGAGAGCGCTTGGGCAGGTAGAGGTGGAGAGCCGCCCAGGGAGGTGTCTTTCCTTCTCCTGCCCGCGCCGCAGCCTAGGTGTAAAGGTGGACGCCCGATTGGCGAAGGGGAAGGGGCAGGCTCCCGGGCTGCGCAGACCCCTGGTCGAGGACTCCTTTTCCTCCCTGCGCAGATGGGCGGCCTCACGGCGCAGGCTGCCAGCTGGACCGGCACAGTGACCGCGCGGGTGACCCAGCGAGCCATGCCCACCGCACTGCTGCCGGAGAAGGAGCGGCCACCTCTGCCTCCCCTCCCCTGCCCAGCGCAGCCAGTCTGCCTGCCCCAGTCCCCTGCCTCCCCGGAGAAGGTGGTCACACCTTCCCCGCCCACGGCCTCCGCCCTCGATTACCCCAGTGAAAACCTGGCTTTCATCGATGAGTCCTCGGACACACAGAGTGAGCGTGGCTGCGCCCTGCCGCGTGCGCCCAGAGGTCGTCGCCGTCCCAACCCCCCCAGGAAGCCCGCGCGGCCCCGGGGTCCAGGGCGCCCCCGAGACAAAGGGGTGCCGGTGTAGGGGCAGAATCCCTGGTCGTGCCACTCAAAGGACTTCGCTCCTTCGGTCTCCCTGGCATGCTTGGCTTGTTTGACCAAAGAGCGCTCTTTCGACCTCAACTGAAGCCTAGGCAGGAGGCTTAGGGTCACCCACCCACCACCTGCGCCCCCGGTCCCTTCCTCACTCCCACCCATTCTGTCGCGCTGCCCTAGCAGGGCCTGTCCCTCACAACACCTCACAACTGTGCCTCAAAACCTGCATCAATAAACGAAAACACTCTGCCTCGCTGCGGGTGTGGGCGCTCCGGGGACGTGAGTGGGTGTGGGAGCGCGTCCCTTGGGCCACCGCGGGGCCACCCCCACCACCTCTGAGCTCCGGGGCAACCACAGCAATGGTCCTCTGCTTGGAGGCCACCGGCGGGTACAGCCCAGCAGCAGAACTAGCCAAGATGTCTCCAGCCTCAGCTATGGGGTGGGGCTGGGGGATGGTGGAGGGTGGGTGCGGCTGGTACCCTGAGCCCGTACCCACTGCCGTTCTGGAAGAAGAGCCCGCCCGCCCCTCCCCCTTTTGGAGCGTGACCCCTGCCTCGTCCAAAGGCCGGCAGTGCCTGCCTGGATCCGTTGGGGGCCCGCACCATGGAGGAAGAGCCTTTCAACGTAAGGACCTGTCCCAGCTCCTGGTTTGTCAACTCTTCCTCGGCCCCACCCCGAGCCCCTGATGTAGGTCTCACTTAGCCAGAGCTTCTGCAGTCACCACTCCTCGTCCTCACCCTCTAGTACTCACCCTGATTCAGGACCCCTGCCCTAGACCTCCGAGACCTGGCTTCTCTCCTTATATATGGCCCACAGGCGTCTTCAGACCACGGAAGCCTGGGCCAGGCGAGTGGGCACTACGGCCTTCCAAGTGGGCGAACCCAGGCCACAGCGCCACAGCCACACCTGAGCATGCGGCTGTCTGAGGTCTCATGGAGCTTGGACCAGCAGCAGAAACTCCCAGGGGATGGTGGCAAGCCCATTTCTCTGAGGAACGAGGACAGTTCCAAGCTGGAGGACCTGGATCAGTACACTCTGCTGGAGCTGAAACCACCTGGCGGCAGAACTCCCGGCATCCACTTAGAGGGGGTGGACAGTGAACCTGAGATCCAGAACGGTCAGTGTGGCCTCACCAGGTTGTGGGTGCCCACAGGACAGAGGACTGTCCAGGGCCTCACTTTCCTGTCTGTACAATGGGGGAATCCGATAGCATCCAAGTTTCTAGGATTGCCAAGGGAGGGTGCTAATGCTGATTCTGCATCCTTCGAAGTAACCAAACAATCCTTGGGCGCCCCCTAGTGGGAGGGCGTCTATGATGCCGAGCCCGGGGAGACGCACGGGAAAACATGCCAAGGCAGGGCAGAGAGACCTGTGCTTCAAATGAGTCATGGAGCCAGTTGAGGGAGGGTGTTAATTTCCTGTCTCAGGATTTGCCCTAGTTAAGGAGGTTATTTTTCATTTAGTCAATCATTGTTTAGAATTTGTGGTTTTTTTTTGAGATAGGGTCGCTATGCAATTCAGGCAGGCCTTGAACTTATTATGTACCCCAGGCTGGCTCCAACTCCCAGCAGTCCTCCTGCCTCAGCCTCCAGAGTGCTGAGATTACAGGCATGTGCCACGCCAGACTCTTGTTCACAATTTTGAAGCACTTACTGTTTACAATTTTTAAGCTAGCCACTGTTTGGGACTTCCCTCCTTCCTTCTCTCTCTTTACTGGGGATTGAACCTAAATCCTTCACAATGGACCCTTTTTAATTTTTTCTTTGGTACTGGGAATCAAACTCACAACCTTATGCTTGCCAGGGAGGTGCTTATGCCACTAGCTTAAATCCCTGGCCCTTTCTTCTTCTTCTTCTTCTTCTTCTTTTTTTTTTTTGGTATTGAGAATGGAACTCAGCACTTCATGTTTGCTAGGCAGGCACTGTGCCACTGAGTTATAGCCCCAGCCCTTAATTTTTTATTTTGAGGCAGGGTCTTGTTTAGTCATTACACTGCCTAGGCTGGGCTTGAACTTTCAATCCTCTTGACCCAAACTCCTAGAGTGCTGGGCTTTTAGGCATATGCCACCATGCCTAGTTCCTCTTTCCACTTTCATCAGGGGATTAGAACTTATATTACAATTGGTACATCCTGAAAGCTTGCTCTTGGCTTCCCTTGCATGGTCATCTTTAATCTTTACAACCTCCATAAGAAGCCACTTTTAGGACTTCATTTTACAGATGAAGAACGTGAGGGTAAGTCTCAGTTACTGGGGCAGGGGACAAAGTGGTGGACTGCTTGGCCAGCATGCATGAAGCAGGTGTCAGTGGTGGTGGCAGTTGGGGAGGAGCTGTCACTGGACCTAACTCTCACATAGTGGGAAAGCTGGAACTGGAACCCAGGAGTGTACCAACCATCCCATACTGTCTCCAACTAAGGGAACAGGTGGAGCTAAGTCTCTGAACCCCACTACATGCAGCTCTGTACCAAGGGAGACCCAGGAGTCTACAGATGACTGACTCCTGTGTTCTCTTCTCCCAAAAGAGCATTTCTCAGAGTCACTGTCTAGTACATGGGAGAGTGCAGGCTTTCGACTCTACTTGGCAGAGCAGCAGAAAAAGGTTAGAAGCTGGGGGTGGGATGGGGAAGTTGAGGGGTACATCTGTGAAAGAATAGAGGTGGCTGGCAGAGTTGGGGGAGAGCAGGCTGGCTGGAGGAGGGTCTTGGGACTGTGGGGATCAGATAGAACATTTCTTTTGTGGACAGAACTGGGGTCTTCCAGATGCCTGAGCCTCTTACTGTTTTTCCAGCTGCCGCTGCCCCTGAAGGAACTCATGGAGACTGAAGCTCTGGAAATCCTCACCAAAGCCCTCAAGAGTGAGCCTCCCCCTACCCCCGCTTTTACAAAAGATACCGGTGTATTTTGCAGGGCTTGGGCTTTATGGGAATGGGGTTTCAGAATGTGTATGCTTTGCCAGGTGGCCTTAGCACTCACAAAAATTCCAAGGGCCCCACAGAAATAAAGAGTTGAGAGACCAAGCTCGAGATGGGAAGAGCATGGGGTGACAGGCCTCAGTGGAACTGTTTTCGAGGTGAGGCTTTAGGAGGCTTCTTGCCTACTGAGATGTAGCTTTGGCTTCCTCCCAGGTGGGGGGCTGTGAGGGATTATTTGGGTGAACTCCTGTTTATGATGTGACATCTAAAGGACCATATGATTATTTAGAGTGGGTGGTCCAGGAGGTGTCTGCAAAGATGCTAACCCCCCCCCCCAGTTCAGGCCTGCGTCATCTTCTCCAGCTGGCGCTGACACCCTCCTCCGCCTGTGCACTAAGTGGGGATCTAAAGTTCCCCAGACTTAAAGAAGGCCCGCACCCAGCACCCAGCGCCCAATCACCTGCGGCTCCTCGAATCACACAAGCGGTGCCGCTGGTGGGGAAGCCTTGCCGGTGCTCACTGCCCCAACTCAGCTCGGCCCTCCTCCTAGGCTATCGGTCCAAGATCGGCGAGAACCACTACCTGACTAAAGAGCTGCAGCGAAGCGTCGAGGAGCTCCAGAGGCGGAGGAGGTTACTCTGGAGGTCTCAGTGACCCTCTGCCTCTAGCAGCGGTCCGACTCCTGCCCCTTGCCCTGTCCTGTCCCCAAACCCAACTCTGACCCTATCTGCCTGGAGTCTGAGCCCCAGAAAAATTAAAGAGTCTGTGCATAATCCTGAGTCTGTGCGTGGCTGCCTGCGTGAGGCGGACACACGCGGCCCCGCCCTTCCCCGTGACCTTCATTCGGTCACCGCAGTGACCTTGAGTTTTCTCTATCCGGATCTTATGCGCCCTGCCTTCCAGGGACTCAAGGGTTCAGGGTTACTTGCAAGTGTAGATCTGCTTCTCCTATCAGGGGCTTTGCAGTTTTTCGGGACTGCTGAGCCTTTGACTCAGCTGTCCCGAAAGCTTTACTTCGGGATGAGGAGAGAGGGGAGCGGGCTGCACCCTCTCCTCGAGCTGGGCTCCACCCCCTATGCATATGCAGATACCCCAGCCTCTCCGCCCATTCCGCCTTCGTATTTTCATAAGGGCCTCTTCTCTCCTAGCAGCTGCGGCCACTAAGCGACCTCGCCCACTCCTCTAGCGCAAAGCTCCACCCGCCTCTTCTGTTCCCTCTGGGATCTCATTCTTGGCGCCGCACCGCGTCTCTGGTCCCGCCCCCGAGCGGCGGCGTACGCAAGTACGCCGCCGAGGGTCAGCTGCGAGGGGGCGGGGCATTCGGTGAATGCCCGCCTACTGGCTCTGAAGGCTCCGCCCGACTCCTCCGGGAGCACAGGAGCTGCCCGCCGCACTTATCTGATTAGCATAGGGCATCGGGCCCCGCCCCCTGTTTTGCATGCGCACGACCGGCCCCGCCCCCGCTGTCAGCTGGAGGAAGCGGAGTAGGAAGCGGCCGCGATGTCCTTTTGTGTCCTACAAGCAGCCAGCGGCGCCGCCGAGTGAGGGGACGCGGCGCGGCGGGGCGGCGCGGCCCGAGGAGGCGGCGGCGGAGGAGGGGCCGCCCGCGGGCCCCGGCTCACCCGGGCGCGACGGGCCGCTGGGCCCCCATGCCTGCCCACCCTCCCAGCCGGAGCCCCAGGTCCAGGGGCGGAGGGGCCCTGTTGTGGGCGGGCGGGGCTCGGGGCCATGTGCGAGCGCGGCGGGAGGCGGGCGGGATCCGGCCGAGAGCCCGACGGGGGTCAGAGCCTGGGCGGGATCCAGTGTCTGGGTCCCGGAAGGCCGGCCAGGGTCAATGTCTAGCCCTGGTCGGACTGCGGGGGCCTGGCCCCACTCAACCTGGGCCTCGAATCCAGCCCTGGGGTAGGGTTCAATACGGTGCTCCGGGCGAGCCGAAGTCCCTGGGGCGGGCTGGGGTGGAAGACAGGGAGGGTTCTCGGTCGGGAAGGAGCTATGAGGGCCACGTGGGGGCGCTGAAGGGGCCTGGGCCACCCTCTTCTCTGGGTCAAAGGTCATCCCAGAGGCGGGGGAGAACTTCCTCCTCGGTTCTGTTCATTTACTTCCTGATAACCTGATAGAGGTCCCCGGCGGGCGGAGGGGGAGGGGAAAGGAGGCTAGCAACTTTGGGTAACTTCCCATAGGTGTGCGCAGGTTAGGGGGCGGGGCGCCCTATGAGGTGGTGGACTCTGCGGCAGGCTTGGGGTGCAAGGAGGTGGAGCCGCACCCGATGGTGTGGCTGGAACTGGGCATGCTGGGGCAGGAGGGGCGCGGCGTGTCTTGGGTGAGAGGCTGTACTTTCTCGCCCGAGTCTGTGCCACTGTGTGTATTCCTGGGGACCCTTGGAGATAGTGCAGGATTGAGTCTTGAGCATATGTTTATGGTGGGTGCCCTTTGGAAGGAGTGTAAGAGTAAGGACTGGGTTTTGCGAGTGTGAAAAAGCCCCAGAACAGATTGAGAAGGTAGTTGTGTGGCCACATTCGAGAATCCAGGTGAGTGGGGTGTGGGTATGAACGCACCAGTGGGCACATCTGCCTCTCCTAGGACAGAAGTGGTTGGCTGTGCCCTCTTGAATAGAAAGTACCTAGATTGAGAGTAGATTACTAAGGCCACCCCAAGATCTGGAAGGGATTCCAGTTGGGGTTGGAGGTTGACTTGGGGGCTGAGGTGACTTTGCTTCCTGCCCTCTCTCAGGTTCCCACGAGGAACACCTGCGGTCAGTTACTGCCCTGGAGGCTCTGGAGACTATTCCCATGGCAGCAGCTTGGGGGGGGGGGCTTTGAGAGCAATTCTTCCTTGGACTCTGTCCCTCCCTCCCCCCTAGTTAAGCCTGGAGGTTTGGCCCAAGCCCAGGGCTGGGCAGCCCATGTGGCAGCGTGTTCTCCCATCCCCCATCCCTCTGCCTCTCTGTGACCTCATGGTTTCTCCCTGCAGGTGACCAGCACCATGTCCAGCCAGGTGGTGGGCATTGAACCTCTGTACATCAAGGCAGAGCCAGCCAGCCCTGACAGTCCAAAGGGTTCCTCAGAGACGGAGACTGAGCCTCCAGTGACCCTGGCTCCTGGTCCAGCTCCCGCCCGCTGCCTCCCAGGGCACAAGGAGGAGGAGGATGGGGAAGGGGCTGGGCCTGGTGAGCAGGGCAGTGGGAAGCTGGTGCTCAGCTCCCTGCCCAAACGCCTTTGCCTGGTGTGTGGGGATGTGGCTTCTGGCTACCACTACGGTGTGGCATCCTGTGAGGCCTGCAAAGCCTTCTTCAAGAGGACCATCCAGGGTGAGCCCCTACCCCTGTTCTGTGCTCTTTGTCCTCTTTGCCCTGTACCCTTGGCCTGTCACCTCCCAGCTAGTACATGACAGCTTTCAGAAACCTCTGAGCCTGCCCAGGTACTGTATGTGTGAGGTTGGTGGTGTGGAGCGCCCAGGCTCTTGTATCTCAGAAAAGTGAAACAAAACCCCTAGCACCTGTCGGGGTTGAATGGGATGTGAGAGGGGACACAGGTGCTAGGTGTTTTCCTGGATGCCCTGGGCTCAGCATACCTTTGACAGTGGCTTTGAAAAATTCCAAGGGATCCTCTGCCTGTTCCAAATCTTTGTTTTTGACTTTGTTCTTTCTGGCAGTTGCTGGCCTTTGCCAACATAGAACATGCTGCGTTTTCTTAATTTTCTCAAAGCAGCATCAACAAAAAGCAGATTTTATCTGAGGAGGCTGTTTCATACTGAGCAACATCTTCAGCCTTTTCAAAAAATACGTATGTATGAATGTATGTATTTATTTTTTTGAGACAGACAGATTTGTTATGTAGTTCAAGTTGGCCTCAAACTTGTGGAAATCTTCATATTTTTTTGCCTCAGCCTCCTGAGATCTGGGATTATAGGCATGTACCAGCATACCCAGCTGTTACATCATATTTTAGCATCTGATTTTAAAAAGATTGTTAGCAAGCTGGGCATGGTGGTGCATGCCTGTCATCCCAGCACTTGGGAGGCTGAGGCAGGAGGAATTAGTGACCAGCCTGGACTACATGGTGAAACTCTGTTCCAAAAAAGATTGTTAGGAATCCTTGCTCTTTTAAGTTTATTTGTTTTTGGAAACAGCCTTTTGCTGTGTGGCCCACACTGGCCTTGAACTTGTGATATACTTGATATACGAGCAGCTTAGACTCTTGTCTCAAAATAAAATTTAAAAAGGGCTGGGGATGTAGCTCAGAGGTAGAGGCATGCCTAATCTATGCTAAATCCACAGCACTGTCCTGCCCCCTCAGGAAAGCAAACCAAACTTTGAGCAAGAAGATACCAAAGCAAACATTACCTGGGGTTGGCCTATTAGTTATGCTTTTATGTAATCATTGATTACTTTGGGGCTTATAGCAAGTATAGTGAAAAACATTTTTTGAGTGTTTCCTGCATGCCAGTGACTGTCCCATAGCACCACTGTGTCAGCACCCACCCTCATTGTTGAGGCCCAGAGTGGTTCTTGAAACTTGGTTCAAGTCTCACAGGTAGAAAATGGCAGAACCAGGATTTGATGCATATCCAGAACTGAGTTCTTACGTGCCAGGCTGCTGCCTCTGCTTATAACTAATAACTGGACTTCGGACCGCTGATTGTGACATCCCAGCGAGTTTTAACTTGGCAGAAATACATTAGTCTACAACTGTGTTCCCTGCTGGCTTTGAAGACCAGTAAGGCAGCAGGCCAATCCAAGTATCTTCCTATACTCACCTTGAAATCCTTTGTGTAGCTACCAACAAATATTTATTGAGTGCTGGCTATACAGTCATTTTAAAAAATTAATTAATTTTGGGGTACTGGGAATGGCACACTTACCAGGTGAGTGCTGTATCACTAAGCTAAATTCCCATGCCTCTGTATAGTCATTTATTGGGCACTTAAGTGCTGTTTTGGGTTTTATTTTGGAGCACCCTACCACTGAGCCACACCTTCAGTGGCAAGTACTTTTTATATGTACATACTGGGAATTGAACCCAGGGCCTTTACACTGCACTACATCCCTGGCCCTTTGATTCAGGGTTTCACTAAATTGCCCAGGTTAAGCTTGAACTTATGGTTCTCCTTCCTCAGGCTCTCAGAGTGCAAGGATTACATTTGTCCTTCACCAAGGCCAGCTCCAAGTATGATTTTTTTGTTTGTTTGTTTTTTTGTTTTGTCTTTTTCCTTTTTATCGGTACCGGGGATCGAACTCACGACTGCCTGCTTGCAAGGCAGGCACTTATGCCGCTGAGCTAAATCCTCAACCCCCTCCAAGTATGATTTTTATCAAGCCAGTTTCACAGCTGGGAAAACTGAAGTTCAAGGGGTTAGGTCTGGGACTTGCTCAAGGTGATACAATTTGTCAGTGGTGGTGACAGGATGGACCCCACACAGCTTTTCGGACTTGGGTTTTGCTGTCCTGACCAGTGTTCCAGACACAGAACACAGCTGGCCTAAGGTAGGGAGAGGTAGGGAGTAAAGCCTGGGTTGTGGAGGGCTTCCCTAGGAGGAGGGGTGTTTCAAGCTGGGTATAGAAGCCCCAGGAGGATTCAGGAGGAAGTGTACTTGTTAGCTAGAAATACCTACAGAGGAGGAGTTAGCATTTTCACAGGTGGCCAAGGAGGGCCTCCCTGAGGGGTGAGGAGGAAAGAGCGTGAGTGGAGGACAGGACCAGACAGGAGCCCAGGCTGGGAGTTAGATGTCCTGAGGCAGCCTTGTTTGTGAAACACCAGGTGTGGAGCAGAGGTCATAAGGGTGGCAGGTGGGTGAGTCCAAGGGGAAGTTGTTGGAGGGTTTGAGCAAAGGTGGGATAGGAGCTGACACAGGACTCAGGATCCACAGAGCAGACCAATGAGGTGAAAGGTGACAGTGACAAAAGTCCGAGGGAAGCAGTTGCTAGGGGCAGGAGGAAGCTGGAGTCAGGTTGGAGAAGATAAAGCCTCCAGGGTTTGCTGTCAGGTTGCACATGATGTGCAAGGGATGTGATGATCCACACAGGTTTCTGCTTGGGCAGTAGGATGAATGCACTTGTAGGCTTGGCAGGGGAAGTCCAGGGCGGTATAGAATGTGAGGCTTGAAGAGCATTCTGAACATATAGGATACCCAGGATGCAGCTGGATTGGTGAATGTGGTGCTTGAGGCAGGTCTGGGTTGGAAAAAGAAATCCGAAAGTCCTATGATATAAGATTGCTGCCGGAGTGAGTGAGGGTGAGATGCCAGGCCAGCCCGGATGGCTTCAATGGAAGCAGCTGGGGAGATGCAGAGAAACTGCAAAGTAGCTGGAGCGGTGGGAGGAAAAGAGTAGCATCTAGACGCAGAAGAAGAACGTGTTCAAGTGTTCTAGGAGCAAGGGGCAGTTCATGTGTTCGATGCTCTTTTAGACAAGTAAGATGAGAACGGAGTTGACTGTTAGATTCAACATAGGCGGGTAGTGTACGGCCTAGTACAGCAGCTCAGCCAGAGGCTTGGAGCAGAGAAGCTGCCAGACTGCTTGGTCCCTGCCCTTGCTTGTCTGGGCAAGGGTCCTCACCCCGGGGCCAATCCTCCCCCTGCTTATGGTGCCCTGCTCTCCCTTTCCTTCCTGTACCCCTAGACCTGTGCTTGCCCGGGGCGAGTCAGGGCTTTCCTGTCCACTGGGCCCCTCCAGGCCCTGGGAGACCGCCACTGGAGCCCTGACTCTTCTTGGCAGGGAGCATCGAGTATAGCTGTCCAGCCTCCAACGAGTGCGAGATCACCAAGCGGAGACGCAAGGCCTGCCAGGCCTGCCGCTTCACCAAGTGCCTGCGGGTGGGCATGCTTAAGGAGGGTGAGCACTGGCAGGGTCCTGGGTGGGGCCGGGGTGGGGGCCTGAGTGTGAGGGTGCAGGGCCTGGGCAGTTCCGCTTAATGGGCTGAGGACAGTTCTGCAGAGCGAGCTTGCCCTAGTCCTACAGACTCACACTGTTGTACACTTCAAGGGGTGCGCTTGGACCGTGTCCGAGGAGGGCGACAGAAGTATAAGCGGCGGCCAGAGGTGGACCCACTGCCCTTTCCAGGTCCCTTCCCTGCAGGGCCCATGGCAGTAGCTGGAGGCCCCCGGAAGACAGGTAAGAACACTGGGTTCCCAGAGCTCTGAGGCAGGGGTGGTACAACTCCAGGAAACCTGTCTGGCATCATTATGGGTACAGGATCCCCATGTTTCCCCTTCATGGATTCTCTCACTCATTTTCCTATTTATGAAAATGTCTTTTTATGTGTTGGGGACCAAAGAGTACAGCTGGGACCAGAGAGGTTTCCTAACACTTGGATGTCTGCAAACCTTCCCTGGAAACTCAAGACTTTCCCTGGGAGATAGTGAACACTTTTCCTTGGAGAGATGTCTCCTAGCTGGCCAGTGGCTGTGGAAGAGAAAGGCCACAGGGGGCTGCCAGGGAGGACACTGGCCTGAGGAAGGCTGCTACATCTCAGGGCTCCTGACTAGTCCTCCCCATCGCTGCAGCCCCTGTGAACGCACTGGTGTCGCACCTGTTGGTAGTCGAGCCTGAGAAGCTGTATGCCATGCCTGACCCTGCTGGCCCCGATGGACACCTCCCGGCTGTGGCCACCCTCTGTGACCTCTTTGACCGAGAGATCGTGGTCACCATTAGCTGGGCAAAGAGCATCCCAGGTAAAGGGATGTCCTGGGGCTTTCCTGAGCAGGGCAGGTCTTCCTTGGCCCTAAGGCACTTGCTCAGCCAGGTCTGCTCCCCACCGCCCTCCAGGCTTTTCGTCACTGTCACTGTCTGACCAGATGTCAGTACTGCAGAGCGTGTGGATGGAGGTACTGGTGCTGGGTGTGGCCCAGCGCTCACTGCCCCTGCAGGATGAGTTGGCCTTTGCTGAGGACTTGGTCTTGGATGAAGAGGGTGCACGGGCAGCTGGCCTTGGGGAACTGGGGGCAGCCCTGCTGCAGCTGGTGCGGCGCCTGCAGGCCCTGCGGCTGGAGCGAGAAGAATATGTCTTGCTGAAGGCCCTGGCACTTGCCAATTCAGGTCAGTCCAGAGTGGGCAGCCAGCACTCACCCAAAGATTTCCCTGTAATGCCCTGATAAGACCCCATTTTGCAGATAAGGAAAACTGAGGTCAAGGGAAGACCAATGATTTCATAAAAGTCACAAAGGGAGGTCCCAAACTGCAAACAGGAGTTTGAGTCATGCTAATGTGGAAAGCTAGGTTATTGGAGAGGGGAGGACAGAAGGTGGCCAAGTTGAAGGAGAAAGGCCTAAGCTCACAGGCAGGAACCCTTGTCATCAGCAGATCCATACTGGCCCTTCCTTAGGCCCCAGTGCAGTGCTCAACTAGATGGGAGGTTTGCCCTTTCCTGCAGTGGCCCAGGGTGATAGATCTGGCTCCTTTCTTGCAGACTCTGTGCACATTGAAGATGCAGAGGCTGTGGAACAGCTTCGAGAAGCCCTGCATGAGGCCCTGCTGGAGTATGAAGCTGGCCGGGCCGGCCCTGGAGGGGGTGCTGAGAGGCGACGGGCAGGCAGACTGCTGCTCACCCTACCACTCCTCCGCCAGACGGCCGGCAAAGTGCTGGCCCATTTCTATGGGGTGAAGCTGGAGGGCAAGGTGCCCATGCACAAGCTGTTCTTGGAGATGCTTGAGGCCATGATGGACTGAGGCAAGGGGTGGAACAGGTCTGGGTGCTGAAGGGACCTGCTCAGCATGGGGTCAGCCCTAAGGGGGCAGACTGGGGTCTGGGCAGTGCTACAGCCTGCTGGCAGGGCCAGGGCAATGCCATCAGCGCCTGGGAGCAGACCCCATGCCCTCCTCTCCCCGCTTTGGGGGGGGTATCAGGAGCTGGGAATGTGAATGCCCAGACTGGGCACAGTGCTGCCCCTTGCAAGCCATAATGTGCCCCCCAGAGTGTAAGGGGGCCTTGCGGAAGCCATAGCGGGCTGCAGGGGATGTGGCAGGCAGAAACCCGATCTCAGGGAGGGAAGGGGATGGAGGCCAGAGTCTCCCAGTGGGTGATGCTTTGCTGCTGCTTAATCTGACTTCCTCTCCAGAGTAGAGGGGGACTTGGGAGAGCAAAGGCCCCTGCCCCCTTCGCTCCTCTCCTCATCATTTGCATTGGGCATTAATGCCCCCTCCTCGAAGCAATAACTCCAAGCAGGCTCCAGCCCCTGGACCCCTGGGGCAGCCAGGGCCCCCCCATGAGCTCCCCACCTATCCTCCTCAGGGGGTCAGGAGAGCACTGCCTCTATGCCCTGCAGAGCAATAACACTATATTTATTTTTGGGTTTGGCCAGGGAGGCGCAGGGACATGGGGAAGCCAAGGCCCAGAGCTCTTGGCTGTACAGAGACTCTATTTTAATGTATATTTGCTGCAAAAACAAACCGCTTTTGGTTTTGAACCTTTAATGAGAGAGAGAAGAGAAAAAAAAGATATACTATGGAGCTCAAGAACACTGTGTTTGGTGTGTCACTGGGTCAAGGTTTGGGGTTAAGCATGACAAAATAACATCCATCAAATATTGATGGGAACACAAAACGTCAAGTTGATTGGTGTCTGTCACAGTTCTCCGTCTCTTCATCATTCAGCAGCATGTTGGGGATTCCGCGACTGATGGGGAACAGACGTCCAGACTCTGGGCATTGCAGGGTGCCCTCCAGCACCTCCACCTATGGGAGGGGGTTAGGGGCAGAGCTGACTGACCAGCAGCCTCAAAGGGAGCGGTGGGGGATGCAGGTGATTGCATGGTTCTCACCTCCAGCAACACGTGGTGCATCTTCCTCAGAAAGTCCTCATCATGCTCATAGCCCTCCGTCGGCTGGCGTGGCACCTCCTCCAGGTGCAGCTAAGGGGAAGACGCCTGAATCATCTTTGGGCACACAAACGCCCCGCCCTCCCTCAATCGGGGCCCGGGGCCGGTACAAGGGTGAGCCCGCCACCCTTCCGAGGTCTGTGTGGCGGGGGAAGGGTCCTCACGGTATCGGCCGCCTCCAGAAGTGCCGCCCACTCCACTTTGGGGATCATCCGCGCCACGAAGTCTGGGTTGAACTCCACTGGATTGACGCGGACCTCGGTGGCCTGCGGGACGGAGGCTTCGTGAGACAGAGAAAGGACTCTGGTTTCTCTATCCCGCCCGGGAAAGGGGCAAGCGACCCTCCTCAGCCAGTACCTGGAGGCGCAGGGGGAAGCCACGGGGCCCCACCCCCCGCACATGCGAGCTCAGAAGATTGTGAGTGAGCAGTTTCATGTCGCCACACTGGAGCCCGCCAAACCGGAACCGGAAAAGACCTCCCTTGTGATTGCGTCACTTCCTGAGCCGTTCCGCTCGCCAAACTATTGGGTGTCTGGGAGAACCGGAAATGGTGAGCCTGCTGAACCTTTTCGTGCTTAGAGGTGCACTGCTGTGTGGGTGAACTGGTTCCGATTGTGCTGCTACCAGAGGGTCTTTGCGGAGGCACTACGGTCCAAACCAAACCCCGCTTCTGTAAATCATACGTAAAATGCAAATCATATGTAAAGTATCTGCAATACAGAGGCTCTGCTGAATGTTAAATAAACCTTAGGCCTACGCTGAAGTCTATCGTTCTTTTCGTCCCATGTTTTTCCTTTTAAGGGACAGAAATACTGCCATATCCATAAATTAGGCCTATCTAAAGAGCGCCGCTACCTCCTACATAAATGAACTATGCTACCGCTGAAAGTCCCGCCTCGTTTGTGCACTACGTCACTAATCCAGCCCCTAATGCAAATAAACACGGGAGCCCTGCCCCGCGCTCTGACGCTCACGCACGCGCAATGGGAGCAGTGCGGTCTGGGCTCTGCCTTCCGTAGGGTCTGTGCGGCTGGGAGGCGCGGCCGGGGGCGGGCATGGGGCTGGCGCAGTTGAGTGCGCTAGGCCACCTAGCTGGGACGGTTCTCTGTGGCACGGTTGTCCGTCAGGGTGCGGCGGCAGCGGCGAGTCGGCGATCGGTAGAAGGAGCAGGAGGGTGGGCGCGTGACAGGGCCCGCGGTTTCTGCAGCACCGCCGCAGCTATGGCCCCGATTAAGGTGACCGCTGGCCCGGCTGGGCCTGACCTCTCTTTTTTTCCCTTAAGACGGATCCCGCTCCACTCATGGAGGTGTACGCGTTTCTCCTGCCCTCGGGATCCCTCCCCGCTGCCTTCGAGGACCCTTAGCAAGGCTGCCCCTCCGTTCTTGCAAAGTTAGAGCTTTGCAACCCCCATCTCCTGGGGCATGCCCAGGTTTTCAAGCTCCCCTCTGGACCAGTCCCTCGTACACTGCGCATCCAGTGCTGGGTCCCCATTTTCAGGCGGCTGCGTACCATGCAGGCCATGCTTCACCTTCTGGAAGCGACTCTTTCAGCACAAGAGCCCTTTTCAGCTGGCCTACGTATCCTTTGCTGCACCTCCACATGCTTTTGTGACAGTGCTGGGCTGCACTTCGCCCCGTCTTTCGACACAGTTGTGGTCCCGTAGAACCCAGCGTTGACTTGTGCATCCCATCCCGCAGCTGTCTCCCCTCCACGGCCGAATCCCAGCTTTCTTCTCAGTACGCCGAGGACCGCTGGGCGACATTCCTAGCTCTTCGTTGAGATACAGTTTGGCTGTGTTGCCTCAGCCACCCCAGTGGTTGGGCATATAGGCCTGAGCCACCACTCCGAGTTTCTGGTGATTTTAATCCCACAATCCAGAACCATCCTTGGCCTCCTCCCTCCCCTTCCTACCTCCTTCCACTTCCTATCTCTGGGCTCCACCATGACTCCCTTACCCCTGAACCTCCCTGCCCTTTTGTCTGACACCAAGACGAACTCTGCCAATCCTGGTGGACTGCTCAGCCCTACCCGCTCCCAAGATTCCTTCCTCTGTGGTAGCCCCCAGGTGGCTAGGGTGGTTTCTTCCCAGTCCTCTTTGGCTTGGTGTGGTTGGGACATTCAGACCAGGCCAGGACTTTCTCCGGCCCACGTTGACAGGGCCTTCTGCACCTCCACCTTTACCCGTTTATTCCACACCCAGCCTCAGCCCAGGCAGCATGTTTGCACAAGGTTGCAACACTTAGGAAGGTTGCCTCTCACCTTCTGTTGTTACCAATGGGCTCTTAAGCAGAGCCGGGTTACCTTGAAACCAAGAGGATGTGGAGTAACTTGGTGGTGGAGGAAGGGGACAGATTAGACTGTCCTGTTGGGTTTCAGTCCTGGCTGCAGCGTATGCAGCTGCTAGGTTTTGTCCCCTTGCTCTGGTTGCGACCTCTCCCCCTGACCCTGTGTCCTTCCCTCCAGGTGGGTGATGCCATCCCATCTGTGGAGGTGTTTGAAGGGGAGCCTGGGAACAAGGTGAACCTGGCTGAGCTGTTCAAAGGCAAGAAAGGTGTGCTGTTTGGAGTCCCCGGGGCGTTTACCCCGGGGTGTTCCAAGGTGAGGCTCTGGGTTTTCCTTAGTCTTCTATTGTCCAGGGGCCTTTGCTGCAGCAGGAGTGTGTAAATGGTGAGAGAGCTGAGAGGCAGTTCAGCAACTTCAGGAAATACAAGCAGAGCCAGGGCAAAGTCAAGTTCCCGGAATGTGGGAAAAAAGAACTGCAGTTAAATTTTATTGATGCTGCTGGATGATAGGCACCCTAGAAATATGTGGACTTGAGCAAATAAGACAGTCCTGAAACTGAGTGTGGTGGTACATACCTATAGTCCTAGTGTTCTGGGAAGCTGAGGGAGAAGGATTGCAAGTTGGAGCCTGGACAATTTAGTGGTATCATGATCCTGTCTCAAAACAAAACAAAAAAAACATAGTTCTGGCCCTGAGAAGTTCATGGTTTTGATATGAGCTTCCTATCATATCAGGCTGAGGCATGAAGGGAATCTAATGGTTCACACAGTTTTCATGCCAGATCAGAGTCATTGAGTCAGGGAAGTGAGGAGGGCTTGGAGATGAAGAGGGGCTGTGGACCAATACATTTATTCCTTTGTTGTCCCCCACCCTTAGACCCACCTGCCAGGGTTTGTGGAGCAGGCTGGGGCTCTGAAGGCCAAGGGGGTGCAGGTGGTGGCCTGTCTGAGCGTTAATGATGTCTTTGTGATTGGAGAGTGGGGAAAAGCCCACAAAGCAGAAGGCAAGGTAAGCTGGGGGTGGGGTGGGGGGTACAGGGCCTGGTCGTAACTTTTTTATTTTTGGGTACTGGGTAGGCACTTACCACTGCTGAGCTAAACCCTGGCCCTCAGGTCGTAAGTTTTTTGTGACCTTTACTTTTTGCATCCTCAGATTCGACTCCTGGCAGATCCCACTGGGGCCTTTGGGAAGGTCAGTGTGCCCAGTCATACCTGTCTTTCAGCCGCTTCCTGTGTGGGGCTTCCAGAGCTAGGCGTGGAGGAACGTGGTAGTGTGGAGAGCAGCCTTTGCCTGTCCTAGGAGTGCCTGATGCCTCTCTCCATCTCTCTTCTTAGGAGACAGATTTATTACTGGACAACTCACTGGTACCTCTTTTTGGGAATCGCCGGCTCAAGAGGTAAAAAAGCCTGAGACCCTTCACAGGGCTTCCCTGGGCCTGGTCCTCCCTCCCGTGCTGCCTCTGCAGCAGAGCTGATGGGTCTGCCTGTTCTCCGCAGGTTCTCCATGGTGATAGAGAATGGCGTGGTAAAGAGCCTGAATGTGGAGCCAGATGGCACAGGCCTCACCTGCAGCCTGGCCTCCAACATCCTCTCACAGCTCTGAGGCCTTGAGACGGATACTCCCGCTACTCTTTCCGGTCACACCTGTTGGCCTGGACCGAGGGCCCTGGCCCTGCCTCAGCTTTGGCTGTGTGATTGGAACGCTGGCCACGTCCTGCAATTAAACATTTCTGCTTCTCATCTCTGTCCTTGGTGTGGAATTGCTACCCTCTGAGGGCCTCGTGGCAGCCACAGGTTGAGCCAAGGGCTTTGGAGGCAGAGGGGGTGCTTAAGAAGGGGTGGGGGGTTTGAAGCATCAGCCTGGAAGTTGAAAGCAAGGATGTTGTGGGGCTACAGGGAACCCAGGAAAGGCCCAGGCAGACGTGGGCTTGACACACTCCAGGATCTTTTTTTTTTGGTACCTGGAATCAAACACAGGACCTCATGTTTGCCAGACAGGTGCTAAACTGCTGAGCTATATCTCCAGCCACTCCAGGATCTTTTGAAGTTGTTCTGGGGTGCTGGCTGGGCTTAATGTGGCCTAAACCCTGGAACAGGAGCCTTGGCTCCAAGCCTCCCCACTGGAGCCCAAGCGACATCTTTAGGCTCTGGCCTTGTCCCAGGAAGGGCCCCAGGTGCCTTGGCACTGGCTGAGTGGCCAGAGGGGCCCCATCAGAGAGAGGAGTGTAGGTGAGCCCTGGTCTACAGAGTGTGGGAGTGGGAGACCAGGAGCCAGGGCCCCTGCCAGCCTTTGGGAGGGGCCTCTTTGGCCTGGGAAACCATACGGATGAGCAGGCAGCAGTTGTTAAGCCCCTGTTGTGCTGAGGTCACAGTGTAAGAGGGACAGCCACCTACAGAGCACTTACTATGTGTTGGACACAATGAGCTGTTGAACTGTCCCTGTCCTGGCTTTGAGTGCTGCAAGCTGGGGGTGGCAGGGGGCTCTCCCCTTAGCACTGGGCCCCAGGCCCATGCTTCAGGGCAGGGCACACCCTAGGGGTCTCAACCCTGGAGGCAGCAGGAATGATAGCACTGTGGGGTGGGGACAGAGGAGTGGGCAGCCCCAGGCTGGTGGCTGGGATGACGAGATGAGAGATTGCCTGAGATTCACAGGAAGTCACTATGTCAAGGCTCTTCCCTCTGCACCCTGTGGCCAGTTTGGGCCACTGGACTTTTCCTTGGGGCACTGACAGGTCAGTTTCATATATGGGCAGCCAGTGCAGCCCAGTGAGCTGGGTACCAGGGAGAGTCGCCTGGTGGCATAAAGGGAGGCTCTGTGATCACAGTAATGCTGGGAGGAGGAGGTGAGGCACGTGGGGCCACTGGCTAATGGTGCGACGCAGTGGTGATGCTGGACACTCAGGAGGAGCGTACCTGCCCCCCTACCAGCACCCAGGTGTTCAGCTGCCTAAGTGCCCGGGGTGCCAACCTTTGTTCCTGTGGTTCTTTCCCATAGCGTCAGCCCAGGGCAGGAAGGTGGCTCTTTTGTTTCCCTGGTAACCTGTCTTCTCTCCTCCTCCCCTTGGCCACCCTGGGTTACAAGTGGTCCTTGCTAACATCCTTTTTTTCCCCCGGACACCATCTCTTAATCCCACAGTACTACAAAGGAGGGAATGAGTCCAAGGGCCTCCTGCCAGGGCACCTGTGAGCCACTGGGCACCCTTCTGACTCCTGCCATCAGCGGAAGCGCTATCTCCATGTCTGTCACTTGGCCACCTCTGCCTCCACCGCCTTGAGCTCTTATCTGGGCTACAAAGCCCCAGCAAGGCCTCAGAGGAAGCATCCCTTCCAGGGTCTGCTGCCATGGGCTGAGCCTCTAGTCCAGAATAAAGGGGCTTCCTGGGCCTAGGTGGCCTCCTAGGATAGCCTGGTCAGGGCTGAGCATGAGTAGAGCAGGACTCTGACCTTGGTGACCCTGGTTATTGAGCGTACAACTGAATTACCCAAGGGTGAGGGGTGTCCAGCAGGGGTGAGACCAGCCCTGGTACCATTCCAGGTCCTGGAGGGGTCCAGAACAGACAGCACTTGGCTGGAGAATCTGGCACCCATCTTAGGGTATCCTGCTGGACCAGAGGGGGTGCTGGAGATTAGAGCAAACCAGGCCACTGTGGCCTGGATCAGAGGGCACCGGAGAAGAGGGTTCATGTGTCTCCCTGTGGCTTCTGGAGGGGTCTCACTAGCATCTGTGCTAGTGCATGGGTTCCTGACGTTAATAAATGTTAATAAGTGTGTTATCTCTACTGACACCAACACAGCCCGCTTGAGCTGGAAATCATGGCTTTTTGCTTAACAGAAGTAAAGGACTTTGCTCAGGGTTGAGAATGCAGGAATTATTCAACACGTGTTTAGAGAAGACGGGAAGAAGTGAAGCGGGGGAGGAGCTTCTCTCCAGTTTGTTACTCAGCTCCATCCGTTCAGTATTAACTGGACCTGGAGGGCTGGGCCTAGTTTTGCAAGGGAGTGACCTGGATTCCTAAGTATCAGTGATGTAAGATAGAGGTTAGCTCACAGACATGCTTAGGTAAGAATCCAGAGCTGGTGCAGCAGCTGGATGATTGTGGGACCCGCTTCTCTTTCTGCTCTGCCTACTTATTTATTTGCTTATTTATTGAGGCAGGGTCTCACTGTGTGTTTCAGGCTGGCCTCGAACTCACCTGTATCCTCCTGCCTCGGCCTCTAAGTGCTGTGATTATAGGCATGCGCCACCACACCCAGAATGCCCTGCCATTTTAAACACGTCTTTCCCTTTTTCTTTTCTTTTTTTCTTTCTTTCTTTTTGTTGGTGGTGATATTAAGGACTGAACCCAGGCTAAGTAAGCACTCTACCACAGAACTATATCTCCAGCCTCTAAATGTGTTTCTTTAGCATCTAATATAGCTGTTTGAATTCCAGCCAACAAATTTATAGTCCAGCTAGTAGAAAGGAGGAATTTTAGATCAGGGGGAAAAAAATCAGTGCATGACAACTCTGTCTGTGTGTTTATGTGTTTTCCAGAACCGGGGATGGAACACAGGGCCTTGTTCATGCTAGGCAAGTACTCTACCACTGAGATACATCTCAGCCCATTTTCAATGTTGAGGCAGCATCTTCCCATGATGCTCAGGATGGCCTCAAACTTGTGATTCTCCTGCCTCAGCCTCCTGAGCACTGAGATTACAGGTATATATACTATGCTTGGTTTGAGAATGACTGCTTTTGATCTTGGTTACTGGCACATAACTCCCCTTCAGGCAGGCCATAGAAACTTGGGTCTTTCCTTCTTTCTTGGAGTTGGTCATAAAAGAATTCTCTGGCCTATCTTTATCTGATAGTAGCCCATCCTATTCCAGAGAGTCCTGTGTCGGGGTCGCTCCCGGCCGGCAGGAAAGACACACGACAAAGTCTGGCGGTGTGCAACCTTGCCTTTATTTATCTCCGCGTGGGCCCCGCGAGGCCTCCACTCTGCCACCAGCCCTTTCTCGCCGGTGGACTTTTTCTATCTCTCTCTGTGCTTTCTCTGTGCTTCTCTCGTGGCGGGAGAGGCATTCACTTTTATAGGGCAACAGTAGCCAATCAGTTTAAAGCGCGCGATGCGGGCTGACTGGCTAACATCAGCTGTTGCTAGGCAGACTATCTTACAGAGCGGGTTGTTTAAGTCGCCAGCGCAATCAGGGGGCAGGAAGCAGGCGCCAACTTGACTCACTCGATGGGAGGGGCAATCTAGCTCAGGCTCCGCTCCCACCCACAGGCCCTACGTCCGCCAAGTAAGGCGACCGGTGTCGGCCGCGGCTCCCAACAGTCCTGCCCATACCTGGAAGAGAAGTCTGGATGAGACCAAGAAGCATGTGAACAGATGGGCCTGGATGGGTCTCCCCACCCATCCATTAGCATTAGATCAGACCCTTTTGTCCAATCACATTTTGACACGGTTGTGTGTGCTCCAGTTACGCTTATCATTGACATCAAAGAGCCAAGGTTCCGGAGTTTCCAAACTGCCACATCTGCAGAGGACCTTCTCCCAGACCTCAAGCATCTCTTCACCTCTGTCCTTCAGACGGTGCTGGAACCGAGAGCCTTACCCCACTGGCAAGTGCTCTACCACTAAGCATATCCCCAGGCTTGCAGCATTCTTTATAATAAATGAATAAACATAAATAGCATTTCCCTACGTTTTGTGAGCCACTCACAGCAACCTAAGGAGGTGGTATGGGCGCCTAGATTTACAGCTGGTGGGTCACAAGCAGAGGCAAAACAACCCAGAGCTTGTGATTGCATCTGAATGGTGGGCAAGCAGTCTTGGGGTCTAGGCTCCGACCAGTGGGATCTCATTATCAGAACTGAACCATTTTATTTTATTTTATCTTTTGGTACCAGGAATAGAACTCCAGACCTCACACTTGCCAGGCTTTACTGCTGAGCTATATTTCTGGCCCAGAACTGAACTATTTTAAAGGTTATTCACCTGATATCTGCTCCTCAGAATTGATGGGCAGCTTGGTGTGGGACTCCCACCCCACATCTGATGTCAGTAGTGCATGTTGAATTTTGTTTTCAGTTTTTGGAGCCAAAGTCTTACTAAGTAGTCCAGACCAGCCTTGATCTCAACCATGTAGCCTAGGCTGTGTTCAAACTTGCAATCTTCCTGCCTCAGTTTTCGTGAGTGGTGGGATCATATGTGTTCACTACCATGCCCAATTATGTTGATTTCAGTGTTGTAAGAACAGAGGAAGAAATCAAAAACCAAAAAATACAAGACTTTGTTTTTTCCCAATGTGTATAGTAAGACAGTAACAATAACTAATAAAAGTCATGTGCAGTTATAAAATTGCCAGTATCAAAGCTGGGCGTGGTGGCTCACGCCTGTAATCCCAGCACTCGGGAGGCTGAGGCAGGAGGATCCTTTCGAGTTTAAGACCAGCCTGGGCTACAAAGTGAGCTCAAGGCCAGCCTGAACTGCACAGTGAGACCCTGTCTCAGAAAGAAAAAAAAAAAAAAAAGATTGCCAGCTTTACTGCTCTTGGGGTCATCACTAAGTAAAATAAGGGCAGTTTTTGTTTTGTTTTGTTTTGTTTTGTTTTTTATCTTTTTAGGACAGGGTTTCATATGCAGTTCAGGCTGGCTTGGCCTCACTTTGTAACCCAGGTTGGTCTTAAATTTGCAACAATTCTCCTGCCTCAACCTCTCGAGTGCTGGGATTATAGGAGTGTACCACCATGCCCAG